CCCCTTTTGTCACTGTGAAAACAGACTCTCCAGAAATACACCAGCACTCCTCTGTCACCAGGCTCCAGAACTGTCCTAAGAATTCAGGGGGGTGCTCACACAGGCAACATCTGCATCCTACTTGAGAAGGTGTGATGTATTTTTTACCAAAAGAACACCTGCCTGCCAGGAAAATCCCACTAAGGGCCTCTGAACAAATCATAATTAGGATGTAAATGGTGGATAACTCACACTGCTCCCTCCAACAGTAGGATTCAGTAACTACCACAGCAGGGGCTAAACCCTGCTTTGATTTACCTCCAGAGGAATGTTGTTTTGCTAAAAGAAAGTGATGAACTTCAAAAAAAGACTGGTCATATTAAGTTGTTCTCAAAAGTACTGGTGCTATTTTGCTCTAATTTAAAATCTGACTTCAATAATCAATATTTTTGCTAGTTATTCCAATGATTGCCTAAGAGAGCTGTCACCTAATTTCAGTTATTCCCCCATCTGTTCAAAATCACTTAACACAATTTTTCTCCAGGAGCCCTGGACATTCTTATTTGTCGATTCACCTAAAAATATGAAAAAATGTAAAAGATTCCCTCACTCTAGTTAATGGGAATAATTATCTTCTCTTTAATGCTGCCACCATTTTGACTAACGCTGCAACATCAAACAGTAATTAAATCCCCAGAAACTCTATGGTTACATAATTTCAGTGGGATTACATTTGATTTTGAAAGAAAAGGAAAATAAAGTTTGCTGCATAAAGTGTGTTTCATACTGGACTACAATTTCCTTTTCTCTTTCCCCCAAAATGCCACTTTGACTTCCTTCTTATATGTGTACAACCCCATCAGCTCGAGGACCAATTAAATTACACCAGCCTTGTGCTGCCAGCTGAGGAATACTCAAGTTCTTAAGCCAACACCCAGGCTTGAGACTGGAAAGACCAAGCAATCCTTTGTGCCTGCCTCCCATCTATGATGGTGTGTTCTCTGCTCTGGGCCTCGATTTAATCTCTTCTCCATGAGGCCATGGGATGCTCAACAAATTCTTATACTCGTTAAATTGAAAACTTTCTTCCTTAAACATAGAACACTTCAATCATAACAATACTTGCAAAAGAGATAGCAAATATTGTATGTTGTTTTTATGAATTAGAGGTTTTCCAACAGTCAAAACCCTCTTCTTCAGGGAAAAAAAACCCCAGAGACTGTCATTGTTGTCCTCCCAACCCACTGGACACTGTCTATCAGAGGGATCAGCCTTAGAATGAACCACAGTGCATCTGCATTCTCTCTCCCTCACTTGAATCATCTGGAGCATCTGCCTGGGGTATTTGTTGGTCAAGCACCTTGTGTCTTCTGTAGATCAGAGTCTCAGAGCCCAGGTTTGCTGGGCTGCCCAGACTCACACTGACTGGCACATCTGGCCATTGAAAGTCAGTGAGAGTGGACTAAAACTTGCAACCATCATCTTCATCAACAGCAAAGCCCTAACCTTCACAGTGTCACACCACACAGACCAAGCAGGATAAAGACTTAGCACAAGTACTTCATTAACAACTGGGACCAACCACAAACCTTTTGCTGCATTGTACTTATGGCAAAATTTTCAAAAGCACCACGGGCACAGCACGGGGTGTGAATGCACCCAGACTGTGGTACAGTCTGGGCAGGTGTCGTGGGCCCTAGCACTGACTGATGCTCAATTTGACAAAAGTCTTTGCTTCTCCACACTGCATTCTACTTTCCAGGGCATTTCTGAAGAAAGATGGCAACAGAATTTCAGAAAAAAAAAATTATATCTAAAAAGCATACAGGAATTTACAACTTTCTAAAGAAAACAAATGAAGTTCATGTCCAGCACAGAACACATAGAAAGGGGGCTGGGAACTGAATTTGCCTAGATGCTAACTCTTACTTTTAGAAGCATATATTTGAACCTTTTCAGACTTAACTTCCTTTCCAAAATCAGACCATCAAGATCTTAAGAACTAACAGTAGTACACTAAAGGTAAAAGACCTTTATGTCTTGCATCCACTCAAAAGGTATTGAGCAGCCGCAGTCTTGGATTTTAGATTGATGATGATGCAGAGAGAAGTTCACACATGATGTCAGAGTAAAAAATTACTAACAACTATCCTGACATTGATAATAAATGCATTCTCAAATTATACCTGCCCAGGGAACCATATAATGCCAGAATGGGACCATCATTTGCTGTTGGAACCAGCACCCTGCACAATGTGACAGGAGTTCCCCAGCCTTCTGTAAAGAATTTCAGTCACAGAGGAAGGCAATCCAAAATACTGCCAAGAGATCAGTAAAATACCCCTATTTCTTGCAACTAATTTCTAATGCATGGCTTGTAACATCACATCAAACATCATCTTTCTACTGGAGAAGGTGATGATTTTACGAGATGAGCATCAACGTGCTCTGTACATTAGCTAAAAACAAATCAAGAAACACCACATTCTAGAATTAGAGCATAAATGGTAAACTGTGGTCCTTTGAACATTTTTCTAGAGACAGCATTTTTGGGTTCTTGGAAGCTAAAGTCTCAGACTCCTCCTAAAAGAAAAGGTAATTAAATAGTTTGGGCCTTTCACAGTCTATTTGCATGTTTTCCATCTGCAACACAAGTGTAATGAGAGATGTTACATTCCATAGTAAACAGCATATGGTTATCCAGGAAACTCTCAATATAGGGACAAAAGTGTTTCTACATGATTGCTACGTGAGGGGCAGAGTGCCTTTGTCACTGCACTGGGAGCTGCAAACACTGCAAAAAGTCTCCAATTTCAGGGAACAGTAAACTTCTCCTAGACTAGAAGAGAACAGGATCAGTCACCAAGTGACATAACAGTGGAGAAAACAAAATATCCAAGAGGAAAAAACCAATTTAATCTTTCTCCTCCTCTTTTTAAAGAACTGAAAACTAAAATATGTCAATTTTTTTCTTTTGTTACTGCAAAATACTGTTTAAATGGGGGTTGCTTTCTCTAGTATCTAACACACTGTTTTACATACAGTATGTACCATAAACCCATATCAACATTGTAAATATCCCATCTAAATCCTCAGCATTTTGCTGATTGGACACAATTAGTTTTCTTTCTTTTTTTTTTTTTTTTTTCCCCCTAAACTATTGCACAGGCTGTGGTTTGTTTAGTGTTCACAACACCAAAGGACTACACTAAGTGGAAAACCATCAAGATCTAGCCTCCAAAAGGTTTCTGTAACTGTAGGTCAGAAGTTTTGCCTCCTTTGGACTAGAAAATATTATAAACCTCCTTAAAAATTACCTGCTGTATTATCTGCTAACCCCAAAGCAAAAAGAAAAATAAAATTGTTTTTCACATTCTCGACATAAAATATCTCTGTTATTTTCTTTTGTGTTACATGTAAGCCAACCTGGAAATTTCCTAATCATTGCCTGCCAGATATGCACTTCAAAGACTGAAAATCAGATTCATAAGGAATGGACACCAGCGGATATTGGATTTGATTAGTAACTATTTGGAGTGCAGAAAAAGGTCACCTCTTACCAAGTTAAACAATTGCAGCTACTTCACTAATACACTGTTATTCCTTCCATTATGGATAAAATCAATGATCATTCTCATTTTAAGCCTGTCAGCAATTTTTTTTCACTCTAAAAACCCAAGTTAATCAGACTGTAGCCACAAACAGGCTTGGGTAGAAAAGGAGTATCAATTTCTGACAGCTGCATTGGCAATCTAGAAAGAAAGCTTCAATTAGAAGCTGACACTAATTTTACTTAATGGCAACCAAAAATGATGACTAGAAAAATATAATGATTCCATTTCAGCATATTTTTAGGATATTTTTTCTTGGTTCAACCCCTGTGTATGCCAGCTCAGAGGAATATGTGGAACTCCACTCACAGGATTTAGCCTCATTCTTGAACGCCTCTTTGTAAATTTTACTGACTGGGCACCCACTAACACCTGTTGCAATATAATTTTTTCATCTTCTAGCGAAGGCAAAATAAAACCCAGTATTAAGATCCAGTTGCGGTGATTATGTACTGAAAAGCAAGAAAAAAGTGCTTGGAGATGTGACATTTTAAAGCATCTCTGTAAGTTTAATTTTTAAAGGACAGAATGAGGCATAATAAATCCTTCCCATACTATAAGGTATGCATATCACTTGTACAAGAAAAACCCAAATAAAATGATCAATCAAAGTGACTAAAGAGGTGTGAAAACAGTGCAAGCTGGAATTGTTGGAGACTGGTTGAGGTCTTGGAGACATCATTTTTTCTTTTGAGTAAATTCTGCTATGTCCTTTGCCTTTAAAGTAACAGTGCAATTTGCTTTTCTGGTTTCACTGGAAAGCACTTACTAAATAGTTCTGCCAATAAGAGCATTCAGAACCGTGCTCTAGTCACTCTCCTGAAAGGCAAACATGGTCTCTCTACTGCTAAGAGTACAATGGGATGACATCAGGCAAATGCAACCAGTAAAAACCTCAAATCCTGTTTTGAGCGAAAGTTCACTCTGACAGAAATGCAAAGCTAAAAGAACCCCTGAAGTGATAACACACATGTTGATTGGCTTTGATAGAGAATGTTTTTGCAACGTTTTTGGAGAGGTATCAATAGGATCATGAAATCTGGTGAATGTGTAACAATGGCAAAAAGTGATGAGTGTAATGTCAGAAATTTAATACAGAAAAGACTTCTACGAACTCTGCCTTTCACAAGCAATCCTCTTCTTAGTAAAGGGCTGCAGGATCAAAGTATAAAAAGTATATATAGTCAAATAATTTTTGAGAGATACTGAGCTTTATGTATATAATTCTTTCTGTGGGAACAAGTCTCTAAATTGTGTGGTACTGGTTGGTGCGGCCAGTCCCCAAGAGCATTAATATTTTGAAGCCTTGATTCTATAGACCACTGGCTTCCCATAAGGGTCTATACAAATTATTCAAGACTTTGTGGGGTTTTGAAATGGCTACACTGTATAAAAATGTTTTTGTATTTATTTTTTAAAAAATTATCTTTACAAAACAACTTTTCCCTTTTTTTCTTTTTCTTTTTTTTTTTTCTTAAAGATATCATTATCTACAGGAACCCATAAAAATTTTTCCATATTTACATCTAGATAGCTAATCATTGACAAATATAATATCGTGAAATAAAATATTGAAAGTGAATATCCAACTTTTTAAATAGACATTTGGCTCACAGCATAAACAACAGAGAAAACAAATGAACAGAACAAACAAACAAACAAAAAAGATCTGCTCTTCTTACAGGCCTGATCTTTTTCTTTCTCTAAAAAAAAAAAAAAAAAAAAAAATGAAAAAAGGAAAAAAATGTATATCGGTGGGACCAAACATGCTGCTTCTAAGCAGAATGGCAGCAACAAACTGCTCCCATCCAGCACCTCACACTGAAAAACCGAGTTCTCTGAAGGTCATGTGAGTGGTTGCTGAGACACACGAGTGTCCAGTGGACGCAGGACTGGTACCTGTCCCCCACGCTGCTCCTAATACATTGCCTGCATTGCTCTGAGGAGACAATGGCCCCCACACTCCCCTTCTTTTGCTCTCCCAAGATGCAGTTTAGCTTTGTTCTTCAATGATATATTTGGTCATTGATGCACGGAAGTGTTAGGTTGCCGTAGGAGCTGACAGCGTGCCTTTTGCTTCCAAGGACACGTCTGCTCTCTGTTCCCTCCTGCCCAAACATGCTGCCCCACACAGCCATTCACACAGAGGGCCAGGTCCTCTCCAGGGCAACAGAGCAGTGTGTCACACAGCCCCTCGCGACCCCCTTTGGAAACTATGCCTTCCTGGCACATCCCTTTCGCCAGCAGTGTGGGAAGTGCTGAGGAAGAGGAGGAGGAGGAGCCCGCACAGCCAGACAGGGCCAGGCCGGCAGCCTGGGCCAGCGTGGTCTCTGCTGAAAGGCTGCTGCCTGCAGCTGGAGTGCAAACTGGGACTTGGAGGCCTATGGGGAATGCAGAGCTCCTCAAAATGGGCTCCATTTCCCTGGTGGGCACAAATTCTCTAAAATCCAGGCCTTCTGTTTGTTGTCATGTATTGGGACACGTGCTACAGCTAGTGTAATAAGAACTCAAACTATGCTGTATTTCCACACATCCACTCACACTTGCAAACACCCCCTCACACACACATATGTGTTGGCAGGATATATCAGCATTCATATAAAGCTTTGGAACTTTTATCCCTCAGCATTAAGAGCAAAAGCTACTTAACTGGTACCTTACTGTTAACTGCAAATGTTCTTCAGAAGCAGCATTTCCTTAGATAACTTTCTTCTGTAAATATCACAGTGACCATAATATATCACTAAATGTATTTTGCTGAAGTGTGCAGCCAATAACCCTGGCTATATATATATATATATTTATATAATTCCACCCACCCCCAAATCTCTTTAAAGAAAGTCTGTAAAAGCCGGTGTTGCAGTGTGAAAGCTTCCTTGAGCATAGGAGTTTAAACAATGTACCTCACCATAAAAAGGAAAGAGAAACAAATTAAACAGCTGTAGGCGCATTATCCCATACTTCTACAGTGTTGTGTCTAAATGCTGTGCTGGCTTGAGAAAGAGTCTGTGCACAAGTCAATCTGTCTTAAAATACTGCTGTAAATATTGTCATTGGTTTGGTTCTACAGTTGTGTTCTCCTCTTCATCCTTCTTGGGCTTCCCTTTCTCCTCCTCCTCTTCCCTGATGGCCTGGATTTGTTCTGAAGATTGGTGCAGTGGGGATTGCTCTGCCCCTTGCTTCTCTGACCCAGCTAACCTCTCCTCGTCCTCAATTACTTTCTTCCACATTTTATGGTTCTGAAGCAGGTGCTGAGTGATCTGACAGTAGATTTTCCTCCTCCTGAACTTCTTCTTTCCTGTAAAACACCATGTGACATTAATTTACTGGTTTCTGCGAGAGAAGGAAAAGGGACTGAAGGTGTAGGAAATAGAGAAGGGTGTACTATGACAAATAGGAACTGGACCAACAGAATTTTAAACCCACAAATTTAAACAGTCTTACAATTCAGAAAGCTACACCTCTCCAGACCTTTGGGAAAGCAAACTGGTTTCCTGCACAGTTTGAGCCCCAGCTTCATCCTATCCCAGGGTACATGTTGTGCCTGACTATGCTGCTCACAGAGGTATCTAGTGCTTGAATGATTATGCATAAAGCACGTTGCTGAGCTGTTTCTGCTCATTTTATATCAAGTACTTAAAGACTCTGATCAGCCTCCTTCATAACACACATTATTAAATTCTGTGCCCTCCCCACACCCAATGGATCCCTGCTGATCGAGGAAAAAAGAACTGTTTTCTCCATATTTTACCTCTGAGTTGAGCTGTAGAAGGACAATGAATGAAGGGTTACTAATGAAGCATTAGTGATCAAAGGAGGGAACCCACTCCTGTGTTCAGTTTTCAAAGTCAGAGATCTACTATTCTACCATTGCAGTGGAGGTGACCTTGAAGCACAATGTTGATTTGGCAGCAGTCTCACCACTGAAGAAGTATTCATATAGCCAAATACTATCAGGAAGCTCAACTGTCTTATTTTGAAGCATCAGTCCCCTGCTGTCAACCTATAAAGTTTTTTGTCACTGGTGGTTCTCATGGCTCCTGACACAGCTGCACTACAAGTGTTTTGCTGTCTGAAGGGTGTTTTGTTCTGTCAACATAGTCTGTCCAACACAGATTGTTAACTCCTTAACGGTACAAAGCTTGAAAATTTTCCCTGGTCATTAAGAGTGCCACTGGCAGCCGCAGAACTGAAATAACAACCCCTCCAAAGACAACTGCTGATTTCTTTTTTAAAGAATGTGACGTAGAGGAATGTTTTGTACCAAATAAATTTGTGTGGATTAGTATTTGCAGGTTGCCTAAAGTATGTCTGTGTCAGGATCCAAAACGTTTAGCCCTTGAAGCTTTTGAACTGGAAACAAAGAGCTTTTCACTGAGCACAGACCAAATCCAACTCAATCCTTCATTAGAAAGCCCTTGGTTCCCTGTAGGAAACCTTCAGGTTTAGCACTAATAAGAAGCCCCTACCCTGCCAATGCCTCAAGCAGGACATTCTCTCCCGGGTTTCTTGAGTGACCCCACATCTTGTTGCTCTCTGCAGACACCAGTGACCAGTTGCTGCGGTGTTAAAATTTGTCTGAATACCTGAAGACCGAGACTGTTTAATTCTTATACTTGCATGAGACCTTCAGTGAAAGTACATGCTCCTGTGCAGTAACAAATATTATTTCATTATATTATTATATTATATTATAAAACCTACCTTGAGGTTTTATAACTCTTAAATTTATCTCAACTGCTTCAGTGAATTATCAGGACCTAGCTGAAGTGTTTTCTGCTGCAATTATATTTCTATCTGCCTGAAAGACCTTTCCATCAAGAAAAAGATCTTTACTAACATCCATACAACTTTTCATATCTATGCATCTGACATCTCAACCTTTTATTTTGTTTCACTGAGAAAGTTTAGAACATCCAAAATTTTGTTGATCATTATATAAATTTCTTACTATCTGTAAACCCCCTATATTGACACAAAATATGTCGTAGATTCCTGATTCAGACCCACAGTCACAGAGAATTTAGGGAACCTGAAGAAAACAGTTTGTAACACATTGGCATGATTGTGAAGATTAGCAGCCCACATTTGGTAAGGAGGAAGTAGGAAGAATTTGTTGGATATTTCACAGCTTCTGATACATTCATTTTTAAAGTTTTGAAAACTGTAGCCTAAAAACACCAGGCTGACTAGTAAAGTTTTATAGCAGAGTAGAATGTGAAAAAGAAAACAGAAAAAAACTAAAAAGGAAAACAGAAATCAACTAAAAATGGTCTGTTTTCAACGTGACAACAGTTAATAAAGATCAGTGCTTTTAACCCAAAAAAACCCATTGTTGGACTCTGCTAGTAGTGATACAGAAGATAAGTGTACAGAGATATGAGACGAAAGGAAACTGGGGATTTTAAAGGTGAGACAGTCCAGTGGATATATGAGAACATCCTTCATCTTTCTTTTTAATACAGCAATAAACATTTCAGACTTTGAAGTCTGTGTTGGTTACCTATCACATACACTTTCCTTCTAGTAGGCAATTCCATAAAGGCCAATCTGCCACAAACATGTGGCTCTGCCTGCTATTACAAAACCGAGAGATCCTAAGGTGCTAAAATCAACCTGTGTGTGTGTTATATTACTTAATGTTTGCTGTTCTCAACAACATTTTTAGTGCATGAGAACCTGCTAAACCTAACACACATGCATGTGTGTGTGTGTGTGTGAACAACAGCAACGATTTCTTAAATACAAACCATCTACCTCTGGATTTTACTAGAGATAAAAGGTTAATTCTGTATATCAGGAGACATAGGCTTTACTTGCTCATGTGACTAATTGCAATCATCAACTCTGTCCGCTTCTCAGTTTCCTCAGCAGAAAACAGGGATGATAGTCAGGTAATGGAGGGCATGAAAACGTGTGGGAAAGAACAGAAAAAGTGAGGCTGTTAAAAGAAAAAGCTCTTTATTGATATTTCACTAGCACACTTAAGGCTGGTGCTTCCTAGAAGGGGAGAGAGAGGAAGATGGTCTAGAGGAAGGAAATAAAAGAACCGTAGTAGAAAATTCAGAGGGAGAAAGAATGTGAAAGAAATAAAAAGGTAAAGCATGCAGTATTAAACTGATAAAAGAAATAGGTCTACAGTTACAGTCTTTTCTCTTAAAGATCACTTCCCATGGGTGCCTGGAATCTCCTTTCAAAGTAAAAAGCTTTCCTCTCAGTATGACAACTACAGGCACCATGTTCCTTCTGGAGGAGAGGCAGGAAACTATCAGCTTTAGTTACTGATTAGCCAGAAGGGTCAAGTGACGCAGCTCCCAGCACATAACACAGTCATGCTCAGAGCCAATTCTCTTGTCACTCTTCTCCACATATTACCTTGGACAGGTCTGCACTAAAATACTTCCCCTGTTAAAAACTCTTTTACTGCACCAGCACCTCAGACCCTCATTTCATGGTAATTCATGCAAACAATGAGTGCTTGCCTTGAAAAATCTTCTCCAAACCATCTTTAATTCAAGTGAAATTGTTGCAGTCTACTAACACCAGTCCTGTAAGAGTCTAAAAAGCCCTTATGCAGAGATTGGTGATCCACAACCAGAAACCTCAACTGAAGGTAGAAATGAGTAGTAGATATGAACTGCACTGGTCCTGAAATCGTGGAGCATCTCCATTACCAACATAACTGGCTACAAGCCAGCGTCTCCAAGGACAGCACAGACTCACTGTCACTCTGGAGAGGCCTGTGTTGAATCTGACCAGCTCACAGTCTCTGCTTAGTTTTTTGGTCACAATATGGAACTCATTCTGTTGAAAAATATAAGCGCAAACAACTTACTGGATTCAGCATTTTCACAAGTTTCCATTTCTGCTGTTTCTTCCTCTTCTTGCTCATCAGTGTCTCCTGATTCATCACTATCTTCTATCCACTTTCCTGGCATCAGCCCTGCTGAGTCATAGGAGTTACATAGTGGTCCCACAATGTGAGTGATGAAAGATTCCTGGAGGTGTGCCAGTTGAGGGGCAGAGCGGTCCATGAAAGGACTGATTGGCAAGCCCAGGCTGGCCTCTTCATCACCCTGGAGATGGAAAATAGCAGTAACTTTTCTGAAGTAAATGAAACAAAACTGTGTCACAAAAAGGTAAAGCACATCCAACCAATTAAAAATGATGAAAGAAAAACAACTGAACTCCAATGCCACTTCCAAAGCACGCCAGCATGACACTGCCACAGTGCCATCATGTCAAATGGTTAATCAAAGTTACAGCTCTTTTTTTGTGACAGTGCAAATTGATCAAGGATGTTTTTGATCAAGGATGAATTGATTGTTGTGTAGAATGTTGCCCATTGCCCTTGTCCTGTACTTTACATTGCGAGTGTGAAAAGTTGGAAGTTTTTATTTTATTTCTTTCTTCACATTATTTAAAAAAACATCCCTTCTGATTTTGTGATTCTTAGTTCCCAGTAACCTTGTAGGCAGCCACCTGTTTACACGGAACGAGACTGAACTTCTACAAGCACAGGCTATCTCACTGAACTAGTTTTCTTACTAATCTTTTCCTTACTATACACAGCATGGAGATTTGGGTTTTGAGTCATAAGTATTAGTTTCCTGGGACTATTAGAATGATTCCTGCGAAAGCAAGGATTGCTCAAAAGCAGTAAATCTTTCCCATGAAGCTTTTTGTTAGTTTTTCTTGGAGAGAGAGGGTAGAGGGAAGGTAGAGGAAGACTTTTTCTTTCTCCTCTCATGATGTAAAATAAAGTAAAACTTTATTGCAGAACCAAATCTGATACACTCACAGCAAACCTTCTGGTGATATCACTGAGTTGTCAGCTGAGTAGACATGACAAGACCAGATGTCATCTCCCCAAGAAAAAAATCTAATTTACCTAATCAAGCTTGATATATAAATTAATGCTTTAATGCAATACAGAGTTCTATATTTGAGAACATAGTTTAGAATTTGGAGATACATTTTCAGTTTCCATCACTTTACAGATTGCCAATATTTATTTCCTTGTAAAGTAAATTTCCCAAAAGTCATGGACTTTGTATCTAGTCAAAACTGTGTCTGCATCTGTATTTTGTGAAGGCCTAAGAATGAGAGCTACATTTTGGAGCATACAGCAAATGGTTCATTTCCTTGTGTTTTGTTTGTTGCTTTTTTAATAACCCACTCCTAAATGTTATGTTCAATCATTAGACACAAAATACTATTGTTGACAAAACACTGAGATATGCCATCCATTCTTGAAATAGCAAACAAATTAAGAGGTGGCAGCTTGTTCTTCTTTAAAGCAACATAATGTGAGATTTCCTGTTTGTGAGCTGTCAGTAGTGGGAAGAATGCTGACTGTTGAAATGTTTACAAGTTCTTTTTTCATATTCTGCTAAAACATGATTTATTATGTGAAAAGTCTTGCAGTGTGTTTTTTGTTTCTATTTAATATGTCTAACCTGTCTTCAAACAAGTATGTTGAGCATGTGAAGGGAAGAGAAGGAAATTCAAACTTTCCATAACGTTCTCCCTTTTAGAAATGAAAATATGAAGACTTTTCCCTTCTTGGAAAAAATCTGATGATCAAAAGCATGGTGAACATGGTTTGATACACCTCTCATAGCATATCACATGAAAGAAAAACAGATTTTAACCTAGGTTAAATGAATTGAGAATCTAACTTAGCCTTCTTAATACCAAATGTAAGTCCAAAAAAGAAAATGTTCTGAGTCCCATTTCTGAATGATGGAAAATAACCCAGATTCCTGTTGTGGAAGAGATAATGTGGTGTCTTCCCACACATGTATCCTCCCGAGCTTAATTCACTATCCAACACTTGGAGCAGTTACTTCCCTCTGACACTATTTATGTTGGATTAAAGGAAAGTCATATCATTATATCTAATTAACAGGTTTTGTCTGCATGCAGCAGTCACCCACATAAGGAAGGTATGATCATCACCAGGACTGTGAAGTACAATTCATTTGGACAGTTGTAACGAAGAAGAAAAGCATTTCCTGAAAGAAAATTTGGGAGATGAAGGTTGCTTTGGGACACATTCTCTTTCTTTAAGAAAAAAACAAAAAGAAAAATGGAACGAACTATATTTGTAATACATGTAAGGTTCACTTTTTGTCGTTGTTGTTTGGGTTTTTTGTTTGTTTGTTTTGAGTTTGGTAGTTTTTTGTTTGTTTTGTTTGTTTGTTTGTTTTTTCTCAGGAGATCTCCGATAAAAGAAGGAGCTTCAGGTCAATGTCTGAATTTTGTCCCTTTCCCCACTTCTTTACATACTCCAGAAGACAGTAGTAAATCCTGTTTGTCTTTTTTCCAAACTGTAAGTGCAGGAAGCTTAAAGGAAGCTAAAAAGGCTTTAAAAGGGATTAGTCTGTGACTACAAGTTACTGCACAGCCTCCCCAAGAAGTCTGTGGGATGTCTGGTTCAGTGATTTCGTCTGTTTGCTTCATCTGGAAAAGACAGTATGCAGAGTTTAATCTAACTAGCCCATTCAAAATATGTTCCCACTCAGGAAACAGAGGAATAGTGTGGGAACAGCCCTGACCCTTGCACTCAGCAGGGCTAAATAGGTTATAATGAGAAAAGGTTCAATTAAGGGCTCTCTTACACCTAGAAAGAGGACCAGTGCCTGGCTGTACTCCCAGGTCTTTGTAAATCAATCTGTGGCTGTCCTCCTTCCTTGTGCTACCATCAGCAGAGCCTTGCATAATTAGTGCAGTTGTACTGACAAACCTTCTGAAAGCTGGAAGTGTTGTCTTAAAAAATAACAAATGAGTCAGGATCAATGTGTAGGGAGTTTGTGATAAACTGAAAGTCAATGTTACAGTTGTGCTCAGCACCATAAAGGTTTTGTGTGTGTGTTAACAGAGATGTGGCCCACTGGGAAGCTAAAATAATTCCTCTGCTCTGTTTAGATCATCTCAACAAGGATGTTGTGTCCACTTTTGGAGATCACGTGTCAATAAAAGTGTGAGACACCTGGAGTGACTGCAGAAGAGAGCCATGAGAACTGGCTGATATCTTCAAAGGACTTAGAAGGAAGGATGAAAAGACAGTTTGCATGAAAAAACACTGAAAGGGAGACATGATGATTGAAAACAAAAAAAAAGAGTAATGGAACACTTGTTCACCATGACCACTGTATGGATAGACTAAAACAGTTAAGCCTTGTACAAATATCATCATCAGAGGTCTTTGAGGACACACCAGAAGCTTCAGAGACAAGGGACTTTTACTGGTCCAGCAAAAGGATGGATTAGTGTAACTCTAGCCATCCTCTTCTCCCCTATCTCTATGATTTTTACTCATCACCAGCACTATCATGCTCCAGGGCTGTTTAACACCAGACATGCAACCAACAGATACCACTTTGGACATGCATTTATTTACCTGTTCATAAAACTCATTGACGATGCCTTCTGTCCACTGCAGATGCAAATCTTTGCATTTTGCAGGCCCGTTTATGTCGGCCAGTTTGATGCACATTTGGCAAACCAGCAAGCGGTCGTTCTCGTTAGTCCAGTCAATTCCAACATCATCATTCACCTAGTGGACAGAAAAAAGAAAACCATGACAGTAATCCTGGGCAAAAGGATGCATCCATAGAGGAAGTTCAGCCCTGGGATATTGCACAATATATTTAGCTTTTGAACAAAATCACAAGCATAACCCCAGGCTGAAATTAACAATCAGCTGTAGGGTAATATGTAAAAAAAAAAAAAAAAAGGTGAAAAGCAAAGGGCATTGAGATTAATAATGGAAAATCAGTATTTGCTAGGACAACAAAAAAAATGCAAGCTTTCCATGACATTTTCCAAGAAGTTAATATCTAATTGGTGTAGAGAGATAAATTACCATCAAATGCCATGCTGATTTAATTGCAGCATGAAGACACAGGTAACAAGCTTATTTCCCTATTTAATCTAGCATGGTTGAAATTATTTCACAGAATCATAGAATCAGCTGGGTTGGAAAGGACCTCTGAGATCATCAAGTCCAACTCTTTATTTTTTTTTTAATTTTTTTTTTTAAATCCTGTCTGGGTTTTCCCCCATTCCATACTCTGGCCAAAATCCAGTCTGGGTTTTCCCCTATTCTGTACCCCAGGTAAAAATCCAGTCCAGGTTTTTCCCCATGCCGTACTCTGGACAAAATCCAGTCTGAGTTTTCCCCCATTCTGTACTCCAGGCAAAATCCAGTCTGGGTTTTCCCCAGTTCCATACTCCACCAGAAATCCAGTCCCCCAGCCCCTCAAAGCGGCCCCGGGATGCCCTGACAGAGGCACCACAAGGTGTGAACCCCCAAAGGTGACACCCAAAGGTGACAACCAAACAGTGTTTTATTTATTGCTGCTACTCAGTCCACAGCTCAAAGATGTTGAGGGAGCTGGTTTTGCAAAGATAGTTCCACATAAGTGTTTCATTAGCAGTACGTACCTCCTCAGCACATTGGCTAAAGGACAAATTAAACAGCAACAAGGAAGTCAAAACTTATTTGTCTTCTAAAAGACCAGTATCTATATCCTAAATAAGACAAGTCATTTTACCCAAGGGTAGCTGAAGATTAGAGATTTGGAAACTCCCTCCATGGGTTCCTATGACCTAGGATGTTTATTTATGTATTTTATCTAGTGATTATGTGTATCCGAAACACATGGAACTACCCAGAGAGCAGGGAGCAGAACCTGAGACTTTCTCTTGCTCGGAGCTCACTAGGCAATAAATTGAAGGACTTCCACAAGCTCTCCATGAACTTCTCCTGAGACACCAGAATGCCCAGTGAGCACAGCTCCTTTTCCCAGAGTTTGGAATTAGCTGGAGGTTAAAAGTCCTGCTACAGGTGAAGAACTGACTGTGATTCTTCTCAAAGACAAGTGGTAATTATATTCCACACATTATGGGGAAGTGCTCAGCCAAAGAGTTATTGTACAAAAACACTGCAGCAGCAATGCTTCCTCTGGCTGCATTTCAGAAGGGACAAAGCAGCAACTTCCCACTTGTTCAGAACTCTTCCCAGCTTTGTTTTCAAAATAAGATCTAATCCAAATGTTCCAAGAGTCCTAAAATTCCTGGATTAAATTTTATTTGGAGCCTCAAAGTTTTATACCAAACAATGCAGTGCTTAGGTCCCTTAGGTCTAATCCCTTACATATCAGCCTATGAAAAAGATAAAAATACTATGCAATATGCTACGAAAAACAAATTAATCTTCTGTGAGCAAAAGTTTGACTGGGCGAAGTATAACTCCCAGCCTAGTCCAGAAAGGAAGATGAAACAAGTGATCTTATTTAGTGCTCAGAACTAGTTACATTTTACTGTTTATTCACACGTCTGATTCTGGACCAGTGTATGATCATAGAATCAAGTCACATCTCTTCAGAAGACATCAGGGAAACATCCCCAAAAGATGTCAGCCAGTGAAGCTGAAAACCATCTTTGCACAATTTTATACAGAGGAATATGCCCTCTCTTACAAGGGAAATTGTAACCATAAAACAAACAAAAAATCCACCAAGTTATAAGCACAGGGGTACTAAAATATTTGTTAACACAGTGAAAGTGAGAATAGTAAACCTGTGAGGATAGAATTTTATTGTTCATAGGTCACTACAGAAACATAGCATATTTACTAGAAACTGAAAATCTGAGTTGTTGATATTAGTCAAAACTTTCTCGGCCCAAGAACTCACCTTTTATTCCTACCTTTTTCCTTTTCTCTATTTTTACCATCCTCTCACAACAAAATCAAAGCATCACAGGAAGATTAAGGTTGGAAAGCACCTTTGGAGATACTCTAGTCCAACGCCCCAGCTCAAGGCAGGCCCAGCTAGAGGAAGCTGCTCAGCATCATATCCAATTTAATTCTGAATATCTTCAAGAAGGAAAACTCTACAACATCTCTGGGCAACCTCTTCCAGTGTACAATCCCCATCAGGGGAAACATGTATTTTCTTATTTTTAAGTGAGAATTCCTGTATTCCAGCTTGTGCCCATCATCTCTTGTGCTGTCACCAAATACTACTGAGAAGAGTCTGGCCTCTTTGGCTTTACTCTGCCTATCAGGTAATTATACACATGGTTGCATCCCATCAGGTGCCATGGACTTGTCTATGCCCAGTTTGTTTAAGTGCTTCCTAACTAATGCCATTCCCTTACGATAAGTCTTCATCAATCCAGACTTTCTCACCCACTCCGAGGACCTGGAATTCACAAAGCCAGGTCTTAGCCACATGGACTGAGCCTGCAAAAGCGTTGAGCACTTCAGCCTTTTACATTTCCAAAAGGTCTGCAATACAACTTTCACTGCCATTAGCCACAATTTCCCATCTCAGCCTGTATTCCTAAAATATCTCCTAGTGTGGTAGGGGATAACTTCTACTGTCCACTTCATTTCTGAAGATCAAATCTCTCCTTAAAACACAAGCGTTAATTGCCAAGCTTGCAATAGTTGAAAATGGACAGAAAGTTGTTGTGCTGTGACTGGATGAAGCTTCCACATGCTCTGTCAGCAGAGCAGTGAGCCCACGTGATGAGGGCTTTGCTTTTGGTGTATGTGGTCCAATATAATTAATGTCAGAGTGCAGTGAGTGTTCCAACACATCAGTATCATCAAAGTGTCAGACAGTGAGCTTCCTTCACTATTTTGTGGTGGTGCTTTCCAGACTGCAAGTTTTCCAGTGTGAGAATGATTACATCACACAGGTTTACACTGACTTCAGTACAGAAGTGTCACTCTGACCACAGACTCAATACACTAAACTACAGTTCAGGAACCTTATCAATAATGGGATCATTCAGAGCTTAATTTCTCAGTTACAGCACCTTCACCCCATACATGAACATCTCAGGTCTGCTCTGAGTCCATGTTGGTAGAAAAGAGTTTCTGCCAGCCAAACATAAATAATCTCTTTTTAAAGCAGCGATTACTGCTGGAAAACCAGACTCAGCCACCAGCACTGGTTAACATGTGCACCTTCTCTTACACTTTAGGTCCATGCATGCCCATTTGACTCTTCAAGCAATAAGGAGGAAGAAGGAGGTTAATAAATGTCCTTTCAAACCTATAGTGAGCTGGCAGGATGTGGCTGTTCTCCTATTTATCTGCAGTCTCAGGCATCACCTTGCTTGGTTACAACAGCAGTTACACCTAGTGTTGTGCTGACTGATTGATTTAAGACAAATTTATTTTTTAATACCTACAGTTTACACCTAGTACTTTGGTCAAGCTTGTCCTCTTCCACAGTTATTTAATCTTTGTGACAAAACCACAGTAATCACTGGTTTAGCCTGTCCTTTTTCATTCCTTACTTATGTTCACAGAAGTGATGGTTTTGATCCAAGCTGCCAAATTCAAAGGATGTATTCAGATAGCCTAAAATCCTTTATTGTCATTGTAGCCCTGACACACAATAATCTGGCAATTTTGTTCAATACTTTATGAGGAAATCAGGATAATGAAAATGATTCCAGAGTTTAAAATTAAGACCTAAAGAAACACCCCCTGACATTACTGGATGTTTGGGGAAATGACTAGCAGGGCTGCAGAAGAAGCTCAGACTTTTACAGATCTAGAGATCAGTTTTCTGTCTACCCTGGACAATAATTTAAAGCCTTTCTTTGCAGCTTCTTAAAGCCTAATGTAGAGAGACATGTTACAGGGAAATAGAAAAGAAAACCAGTTGTACATCTGGAGGCTTCAAAGTTTCAACATACCGGTCCATCCAAAGTAATACCACAAGAAAATATTTTATCTATATCACCAAATCAGTTAGGAGGTCCTAGTCCTGGCTAAGAAACACACTGTTCTTGGTGTGTTTCTCACAAGGAACAAGAAGGCAGTACCAGCTCCAAAGGCAGGTATCTAGTTAACATGTCGACAGCTTTGATGTGTGATGGAGTTTATTAAAGTGACTTGATAGGAGGTGGTTTCCAATAAGTTAGGTTGAAACAGTAAATGAATTCTAAGAATAGTTTCTCTCAGGGTTGCGATTTTATACTCACTGAATGGACTGTGCAGGAAAGATCTTTAGTGACCCTTCTCTGGGGTTTACCCATTTGAAAGAAAGTAGGAAAGAAAGATCGTGCTTCCCTGCATTTGAAATTATGATTTCACAATTGTTACGATATCCATGCCTTGATGATATAGCAGTATGATTAAATCAATACAAATTCACTGGAAGTATTTAGCCATTATGAAAACTTCGTAAAACCTCTGACTATTTTCCCCTGAGTCTTTTGCTAATAGGTCTTAAGTGCTACTGAACAAGAAAACAACATCGAAAAGGAGGATGTAAGTGGGATTTACACTCAAATAGTCCATAATATCTTTAGCCTTAAACCACTTTCTGAAAACACTAAACATATATAAGAAGAGAAGTTGTGCCACTAAATTTAAATAACTAAAAAAACAACAGAAAGGCCAAATTACTGTTCAACAGAATGTTTTACGGCAGTCAAAAGGACAATCAGAGGAAACAGCAACACAGCAGCCTTTCTAGAGTTTTCGCTGTGATGTGGCCAAACCCACAATCTCTTCTGACCATCCACCAGAAACCCAAACCCGAACCTTACCTTGGCATTGAATCTGGCGACAAAATCAAAGTGTTTCTTCAGGTCAGTAGCCAAAATTGCCTCAATGACGAGGAAGCGAAAATGCTTGAACTCCACGTGGTCGAGGTTGACCAGGAAGTTGTACTCTGGCCTCGACATGAAAAGGTTCCAGGCAGCAGCGGCGTGGTGGTTCTCCAGGACGGAGCGGTCGTTGTACAGCACTGCCTGTGGGAGCAAGGTGGGCAATGCAAAGCTGAGAAACATCTTAGCAAAATCACAGCAGTGCAAAAATGGGATTGACGTGGGGGGTGGATGCTCGAGGGAGGTTCAGGTTTGGTGGTTTTGTTTGTTGAGGTTTTATTTTAAAAGAATTTCTCAGGGTCTGAGGATGTGATTTGGGCAGGACTAATAGCAGACACCCTAGGCAAGCCTCAATTCTACATTTATAAAACTGGGATTATTTTTCACACTCCCCTCCTCCCTGATAGATGCATAGTGAAAAAATACTTTCATAAAAGAGAGCAGCTGTTCAATAGAAAGAAGAGAAAATATGGTATGATCATGCACAGACTAACTTGCAAGGTGCAGTTAACTATACAAGTTTTTATTTTATTTTAATCTTTCTGTGCCTCATTGGGTAGAATAATTCTTCCCTTACTTCACAGTTACAGATGCTGTATCAGCCAGCAGAGCTTTAGCTTCTCCTGGCAGAGTTTATCAGTACCTTTCTTAACAGCTCTGCTAACTGAGGGTGTGTAAGAAGACTCTTACCAGCAATCCCCAAGTGAAGTGATTATTTCTGTCACTTTGACAAGCTGTTTCAAAATATTTGGCAGACTTGTGCTTAATGTTAGCCACAGGCACCACTGGCAAGGAAAACCTGTTATCAAGACCTTCCAAACTTAACAGCAACACTAGTTGAGATCTATTTACCTGAGGAGCACTCGTTGCTACCAAAAAGGCATTGGTCCTTCCTGGGTGATCATAATCATGCATGGCTGCAGCTACATAAAGAGCCATCAGTTCAAGGGCAGGGATGTTGCCAGCCAGGCATCCATAGCTGTCATCTGTAGGTGTGTATGTCTTCGAAAACACATAACCCATGTGGCCGTGAGTGATTCCACTGTCAGAATCTGAGCAGAAATAAATAAATTAAAACAATAAAAACATCCTCACCGCTTTTTTTTTTTTCAGTGACTTACTGAAACAGATAGAAGCAACGAAGCAGGGAGAGAAGGAGCAAAATTACAATACATAGCAGCAGAGTGAAAGCACCCTGGCCTCCAGGCTTTCTGATACAGTGTGCATGATCCAGTGCAATAAGGCAAACAACCGGAAAGGAACCATTTCTGATCCCACCTGGGGATCTTCCAGCCATCCAGCAGAACCTGTTCTCAAACTCTGTAACCTACAAGCATTAAGACATGGATTCACAGCCATGCTGGAGCTTTGTGGGTAACTTGATCTTCCCACTTCTTCCTCTAATATTTTCACCTAGGCTAGTCAATACAAAGTCATCTTATAGACTAGTCCAATACAAAGTTCTAGACTTTGAATCTCTGCTGATAATCCTTTTTTCAGCTTGTTTTTCAAACAGTTTGAATACACCTATCAGAGACAGATACTGAGTGAGATGTTTTGCTAATTTAATCTGCTTGAATAGATCTTGCATGCAGTCTAACAATGTCTTTCAAATAACAAACACCAAAAAGCCGCAGGACTCAAACCCTGTTATTCCACCTATTTCACCTCACCTATAAAGACATCAACAATCCTTGCAAACAAATTTTTCCAGGAATAAAAATGTTTCCCACCCCACCAAAACATCATTAAGAGTTTCACAGATGATATGCGTGTGCCATACAAACACTAAAACCAATCAAAAAAAGAAACAAACAAACAACAACAACAAAAGAGCAGAAATGGAAGTGGTTTCTGCAGAAAAAACTCTTGCTTTTATAGGAACTCTCTGAGAACACAGATAGTTCCAGTAGTTGCTACAGTTGACCTGGAGAAGTTAACATAAAGATGCAAAAAGAACAGTTTCCCATAATAAGCAATCATAAAGCAGCAGAAGATTGGTCTTGCAAGTTGGTTGCCAAATGGTAACAAGTCTCTTTGCAGGCAGTGGGGAAAGGTAAAAAACACTTCATGACAGTCAAGCAGCAGCAAGTGCATGACACTACCTGCATGCCCCAGCAATTCTGTAATAGCAAAACAATGCAGGGGCTAAGGATTTAAAATCTTTCTGAAGCAGCACTATTAATACAGTTTGCCTAGAAAAAGCCCCCAAATGTTAACAAAGATTTGCTGTTATACGTGACCACAAAGGTTTGCATTCCCACACCATTAAATGTAAATTATTAGGTTTTGGAGGACCAATTCCATTCTCTCGAAAGTTACACAAACATACTTGAACACCTCCAACATCCGTTGTGCTACTGAACTTTAAAGTCTGTACAATAATAAGTACTGCAAGCAATCCTCAATTCTTGGCTTTCTCACAGCTAATTTTGTTACAGAAACTTCAAGAATACAACATAGGCACTTGCACACATAAATGTACCTGAATCGCTTGCTGACCCGTGGTCATTAATCACAGTTGGGAGCCCCGGGATGGGCTGAGTTGTCAGGTACCACACGGCATGTAGAACATCAGTTGCATGGATTCGGTTGTGATCTGTGATGCAAAGAAAAGGACCCCTCCGTCAAACGGGAAGGATATTTCCGACAGAGGGATATCAGCACCATCTAGTGGGTATCTCGTGCCAGTCAAGCGAGCAGAGGCAAAACAGACTTTTATCAAGAGCATGAGAGTTGTTTTGGGTTTTACCTCTTTGCACACATGAAAAACGGGAAGGTAAATTAACTTTGTATTAGCCAAAATATTCCTCTCTACTAAGAACAAAACAAACCTAAGGAAAACAATTAAATAAAGGGCTAGATTCACAAAAATTCCAGACACCAGTTAAATATTTTAAACGAAAAGAAATGGCTCCAGTAGGACAGACAGACAGTGGGACTTCTACCTTTAATATCCTCAGTCTATAATCTGCTGCTTCAAGTCCCTGATCTGGTTCAAACACAAGGAAAGATTTGAAATTGGGTCTCTTGCTTTCCCAGAAGAGAGTCCAAAGCACCTGTCTGGGAGGCATTTCAGGGAGCTTTCCTCAAATCCCTCCCACTGTAGCTGCTCCAACTGGTATTTAATATTTTGACAGAGAGACTATATGACTTCTTAGAATGATGTTTCATATATTTTTCTGTGATCGTAAAGAAAACAGCATGTCCTGTGTTCCTCAACACTGGGGTTATCTGCCAGCTGAAAAAGGAAGTAATAACTCCCTCTATTCCCTTGGAAAAAAAACCCTGTCTTTTCCAGTTGAAGCAGTTTGGTAAATTGGATTTGAATTAGTAAATAATTTGAGGATCACTGAAAGCAGGTTTCTTGGTGAATAAATGGCTCCCACTAAAAAAAGTATCAATGTGTAGTTGCAGAAGAACAGGATGCACTCATGTACTTGGCATACTTTGCTTTAGGAAAGCTCATCTCCTTTGGTAGCACAGCACTGCTACTGTGTAAAAGTCCAAGTTGCTTTTGAGGGGTAAATTTTTCAAGAAACTCCACTGGACTACACTTGCATCAGCAGTAAACAGTTCTTTACCTGATGGCTTTATGTGGTTTCTGGTTTAGAGAGAATATGCCATGAATTGTTATGAAACAACATGAAACACGAAATACATGAAAAAAAACCCCAAACCATGAGAGGCTGCAGTTCAGCACTAGTCTCTTACTAGAGAACCATCCATTTGGTTGTGATGTAGCAGAAGAAAAAAAGCAGCTGCTATAATGAGAGAAGAAAGGCTTCAATACCAAAGTGTGTGGAAAATCCTCAAAACTTTAAGGAAGCATCATTATGTGTTGGGAATTTTTACTTACAAGGTATCTCTCGGTATCCACATTCCAAGGCATGAAAGTAATTCATAAATTCCCTCACTGGTATTTTAAAAGTTTCAAACAGTCCCATGTCTTCAAAAAGTCTGTATGATACCTGAAAAAAAAACCCAAACAAAAGATCCCATGTTGCCAAATAGATCAGAAAACCTCTAAAAATTAGATATAAATCTCCTAAGGTCAAATAAGCCCATGAAAACCTGCTTTCCTACTAGTATTTTCTGAAGTTCACCTGATCCAGCTATAGCTGCAGCTATTTGCATTTCCATAGGAATGTGGCTACACAGTCACACAGAAGAGCCATTAGTACCAAACAGTCCTCCTCATTCCTTCCTTACACCCTTCCAGATGTTCTTCTCTTCCTTTCAGGCATATGCCCTCCCTGAAATTTTGCAGGCACCTCAGAAACCTACACATGCGATGTTCAGAGGTCTTCAGTGTCTTGGGAAAAATTTCCCCACAAACTTCTCCAAGGAGCATTCTTGACTTAATTCCCAGAAAAGTGGGAAACGAGTGAAGGAATGACAATATTTGACAATATTTGGATTCTATGCATCATCTCCTTTCCTTTGCTCTCATTTTGGAAGCGAAATGGAAAAAATGACTTATACAGGATTCCAGAGGCAGCAAATGGCTTAGGAGGCAGAGCTGCCTCAAGTCTTCCTGCATGGAAAGATGACTGCAAATATCCAGGAGAGGATATACTGGAAGGGAGAATGGGATGGATCAGTGAGGAGGTGTTCAGGAAAGACGAATGCTCGGAAATGCAGACAGCAGCTGCTGCAAAACGGGTACCTCTGAAGACAAGTTTGAACCTGACATACAAAACAATGGGGCACAGTAAAATCACTGCCTGACCTTTTCACTTCTTTCAGAAATTGGACCCTAAAGCCTTTCAGCTTCTTTATTTATTTACTGCTGTTAGCTGTTCTGTCCTTTTGATGCCATCTGTCTGGTAATGAACTGCCTGGAGCCAAGCAGTCTGAAGCACATTTGGACTGATGAGTGCTATATGATAAGAAATGGTTCCAAATTACCTTTTGTGTTTTACACCTGAATGTAAATCAAACATCTACCCACAAATGTTTCTTTCTGTATATCGTGTATATAAACTGGGACCTGTGAGCTGCATCTAAAGTTTAATGAACATAAACTTCAAATGCCCCTCCGCTGTGGATTTTTACAGTAAGAACAGGAAAAAAGGATATGAATTTGCAGCATTAATGATCTTCCCCGTGCCTTTCCTCACAGTCATTCCCTACCAGGAAAAACCTGCATGTGAACTAACTCTGGCAAAGCATTACAACAGGCAGTGATGATGCAGAGACAGGCTGAGTGTGATGTTTGACCTCATCTACAATGACCCTCTAATGACCAATATCTGATAGTTGGGGTTCTGCTGGTGGTCCCAGCTCTTACTTCTGTTCCTATCATAATTTACCATGCTCTGGAAGACAAGAGCTTAGAATAAAAGGTAGGGCATACAGAAGGCAAAACTTTACTCTCTGAAAACCCCATGGGACCCTCCTGTACTGAGGCAGAGTGAAGAAAGTGACCTTATGTATAATTTGGATTAGAATCTGCATAGAACACTTTTTATCTATCTGGAATCACGGCTTAAGTCTTTCACCTACAGAGAGCTGAGGAATCTTACATTTTAGTTTTGTATCAGTGAAATGTAAGCTTCTCATTTCCATCAAAATATTTTTGTATAAAAAGAGGAAGCATAAGGAAATATTATTCTGCATGACCAAACCTTACTGTTCTGTACTAGCAGTACTGGACAGGCATCTTAAATAAAGCATGTCATAAAAGCATGTTTTTCCTTCCCTTGGATTTTGAGAGGTGGGTAATTCCAGAATTGAAAAGAAGTAAAGTTGACTGTGATGGCTATGAATGACAGCTCTTCCACAGCCAAGAAACTCATCTGTACATCTTGGTTGTTTTTCTGTCTTTCTCTCTTAGAAAGTGGAGACAAGGCAGAGGCAAGGCCAAGGCAAAAGGAGGAAAAAAGGGCATTGCTGTCTTCCACAAAGCCAACTACCTAACTTCTTTCATTAAAAACAAACAAACAAACAAAAAAAAACCTGTGCACCTTTGTTTATTCATTGTTCTGGATTAAACATTTTAAAATGCTTCTGTCTTTTTAAATCTGTTCTTCCCAACCTGCATCCTCTTTCATGAGCATCCTGGGAGTTAGAATCCCATGGGCTGAGCACAGTGCCCTTGTAGCCAAGGTCTGGTCCCTGCTCCAGGGACAAGCCCAGGGAAGCACCAACAACTGCCAGGTGCTTGGCAGTGGGTGCCCCACACTGCCCCTTCCCTCCAGCCTTCCTTTGCTGCTTGTCTCTGCCATGACTGCTAATGCTTGACTGAATCATTTATAACTCAGATATTTCTGGCAGTGCTGCCTGAAGAAGGACAAGGACTTCTGCATGATTTGTAATGGAAGCTGGTTTGGAAACAGGGCTTGTTATTCACATGTAGCCCATCTCCTGGCTGTTGCAGGCACACAGGAATGGCTCTCCTGCAAAGTTTAGATTAGCAATTCCCTTCTCATTGTCTGCAGGCAAACCTCTTGCACTCTTTTTTTGTCTCCTGTATTTGCTTTCTTCAGATGTGTGCTTCTTTGAAGTGGTTGGTACCTGTCTCTGGCTCACAAGAGCTTCTGTGGTGACATCCCCCAAGGATTGATCTCCCTCTCTCCTTCATATCTGCAGTTTCTCTCTGCAGAAGCCATGTGTGACAGTGAGGTGAGCACACAATCCTCTTGGCACCACCCAGGGACCAGCTCCCAGGCCCTGCAATGATGCCACCCTGCTCCTGACAGTGCTCCTGTACTGCCAGCATAGGAGCACCTCCACTTCTCATCTCTATGGGCCCAGCAGTAAAAGCTAAACCTTGACTTTAACCTATTCTTTTTTCATGGTATTTGCTTTCCAAGCCAAATAACTTTAATTCCCACAGTTTTTAGTTTTATAGGAGCTGTGAGAAGGGTGTTAAGTGTGAATGAAGTGAGACTGAATGTACATTCCTCTCCAAACCCTATCATGCATAGTTGTTACTGCCACATTTAGAGTGCTTGCCACTGTACTTTGCAGAGATGCTTTTGTGGTCACTGACTGGTTTAGGGTATTTTTATATGTCTAACATATATTTAACATTCCAAAAAGAAGAAACAGACATCTCAAGTAGCTTTAAAGATGCTAAGCCAGCATTTGCTTTCTAAACTGAATGCATCCCTAGAGGCACGTGTCAACTCTGCTTTGTTCCATCCCATAAATTTAACCTAGCAAGACAAACATAGTTAATTCAGCTTGTTAATTTACTTTTTTTTTTTCAAATAGCAAAATACAGAGAATAAATCATTAGACCTTTTGTTTTCCCTTGTTTAAAATATCTCAGGATTTAAAAAATACAAAAGGAAAAAAAAGGACTTTTGGCTGGAGAAAAAGATTTATTTATTTTTGTTCCCTTATTTCTGAGAGTAATTTCACGAGAAATATCTGAGTAGGTGGGGGAAAGAATTAAAGGATCTATGTTTTATGAACAAGGCTGAACTTGCTACATTCTCCTGTTAGGGAGTGGGAGTTATTATAAACAGCTGTTACAGAAAATGTTGAATTTTGATCACAAATATTATTTATTACAGTTTCTCTGTTTTATTTTACAGGCCGCATTTTGTGACACTGTGAAGTGTATAACATCCTCAGAAGCTGTGCAAAAAGAAGATTTTGAGAAAGAGAATGTGGAGCTTTAGAGCAAATTGAGGGAGGCACAGGGGAATTGTCCCCAGAGGTACAGAACTCCATGTAGCTTGATAAAGTGCTTAAAATCTTTAGAGATACCCATGCAAAACAAGAACAAATTTTGGATCACCCAAACTGCTGGTTAGTCATGCCTTTAAAAGAAACTTCTGGCCTTGTGTTTAATTTATCCTTCTATTATTATTCTATGTTATCAGGAAAAACCCTGACCAATATGATCCAGAAGAGTATTTTAATCTCACACTCACTGTCTAGTGCAAGTGTCTCAATAACCATCACTGAATTTATATCAATATCCACATCCAGCCACACTTTGCCTATTTCTCTAAAATTAACCTAGAGACTTGGCAGGCTGGTCAAACACAGATGCTGTTTGCCAAGCTACAGAACACTAAAAGGCAGACAACAGAATATATTTGAATTCATGCCATGGTTTTCCTTGTTGACCACTGGATAATTGAATAGAGCTGAATAATAGGTAACCACCAAGGGACTGTGATTTGATACAGCATTCTCTGGTGCTTGTTACACTGAGATCTGCCTGACACACTAACCTCTGTGTTTGTGGGGGGTGTTAATTGTCCCTTATTGTACTAATTAACTTTATCTCTTCTCTCCAGCACTCATCACTACATAATGCCTTGTAAAGTGGTACTAGTTCACTCAGATTCTCTTGGGCTTGTTTTCCTTCCATCCCTAAATAATAATAAAAATTATTTGCCTTTCCTGTTTAATAATCTTCAATTCTTCCATAAGTAAAAATGGCTAATTTGTCAGTGTGCCAGAAAAAGTGTGCCAGAGTAGAAAGTTCAGCCAGGAAAGTGATTGTGGAAGTGACACTAATCCTGCTGGGTACAGACAGGCTGCGTCAGTAACTGGATTCAACTCCCAGGAAGGAATAAAACCTTGATAGTTCTGATAACTGAAAGAAAGACTAGCAAACTCTCCCATCCTCATTCATAGCAAATTAGCCTTCCCTATGTAATAATGATAGGAATTTTCTATCAAAGTTCTAACTCTTTAAAAATGAAGGAATATAGCAAGGACTATTTTTCCTCCCACTTCTTCAAACCCTGCTCTCTTGTATAGCCGAACTGAAATCTCCTGTATAAAAGAGGAACAAAGCTCTGCATATCCTGCACCAGTTTGCATATCTTTACTGTTCAGCCCTCCCATGCTGTACCCTATGAGAAATCCTTTCACACAGAACTCAGTAAGGGGTGGCAGCACCTTCTGCAGATAGAATATTCAGAAAGGTTTATGTAAACTCACTGGCATAGGGCAGCAGGCAAAACAGGCGTGGGGTTTACCCTTTCACATTTTTAAATTAAAAACCACAGACATTTAAAAGTAAGGAATGTAGTGAGATGGAGTTCATATTGTCAGCTTTGAATTAGGTGACAGGGTTCATGATTGGATGACCAGCTTGTAAGGACAATGGGTCTTAACACTACTGTGTCTAAATCTGTCAATATACTAAGGCAGACACTGCAGACAAGATATATCTCTCACCTGACTGAGAATCCGACCACATTTCTTTCCAATTTTTTCCACCAAATCAAAGATTGGGAAGTTCCAACTATTTAGCTGCTCCATCAGGGGATCCAGGTTGTCCATAACCAGGGGTTCAGGAGCAAGTACAGGCTTGTCCTGTGCCAGAAATCAGAATAAAGAGGAGTGTTAGTTCAGTGAAGCATCTCATGCAAAACATTATGTTCTTATCCCATTAGCATCATCTGTAAGTCGATGGTACTTTACTCAGCTCAGCGGAGATGTCCTCATTTCTACCAGCCCTGCAGCAAGTCACTCTCCTTTATAATGTGTTTCACTTGAATGAATAGGAAATTCTGTACATGAAACATCAGTGTCTGAACTTATCCATGAGACACATTCATTCATTCACTCATGGGAATCATTCATTCATTTCCAAGGGAATCTGTCTCCATTGTAAAATCTGTTGCAGTGCAGAGGGAAAAGCTCTTGGTTTCTACTTCTCCATCACGACTCATTCATTACAATCCAACAAGGCTAAAGGAGCTCAGTCCAAGTGAAGACTTTTGCTTCTTAAACTGAAACCTACCTGGTTTCCAAGGTCTGCAAAAAAAAGATGGATTGTGCCCCTCCTTTCACATTTCTCCCTGTATACTTCCTAGAATTACATTTTACTAAGAAACTGCAGATTAGTAAATGCCAAAACATTTCAAGCAAAATGCCTTCTCTCAGCATGTCCAACTCCAACAGATTACAGTAAATTTTTCAAGAGCTCATGCCAACTTAAATTTATTAATTCAGTTGTACAACGAACTGTGGAAAATGTAACTAAACAAAGCTTTTCCTCTGCATCTCAACCAAGCTTACAGCTGAACACAGCAGCTGTATCAGCACTTGTTCACCATGCTGCAATGTTCTTATGTTTAAGACGTACCAATAATAATACCTTGCAGCACCCTCAGAGCAGCGTTCATTTATTTTAAAATAAGGACCACAGTATATATTATTAGTGAAGACTGCAAGCCCATTGAGAAGCTGAAGTGGCTGAATGGGAACACTATTTATCATGCTGCTAGTCAAAGAAGATCATTTCTCTCCCTTCCAACCCATTCCCTTTAAAGGAAACTAACACAGAGGTCGAACATTTCAGAAATGCCTAATGCTAGATCCACAAACTTATATCCATCAAAATAGATGGTTAGTGTTTCATAAGTGGCCAGTGCTTAGCGGCCCTCACATATTTCAGCGGTTCCTTTCCATTCTTGAAAGTCAATCCTCCTGCTGCAATCGTTGCTTGATCACAATCTTTAGACAGGCTAAGGTTTGTTGGTTTTTTTTTGGGGGGGGGTGGGTGGTTTGACAGATTTCAGTTTTGGTTTGGTCTTTTTCCCACTCCGTATCAGCGTACACTCAGTCTATTGTGCGAGTGGGACTCAAACAAGCTACCTCAGGTGGTGTCAAGGGATGCAGGATGATGGTCTCAGGTGTGTAGGACCTACAGACAGATCCCTTCCGTGTCTGCTCCTTGGAGCAATCTGTCTCGTCATCGTTCTGCACGATGTCGCTGCTGTCGCTGTTGTTGGTCTCGTAGTCAGAAGTGGCTTGCGCGGGATCATCTACAACACAAACCACAGAGCCCGGTGTGTGAACGGCAAGAATTCCACGAAAGGCACCCCGTGACCTTCCGAATAACAGCAACAGGATCTCTGACTCATAATACATATGTGCTGCTTGGCTGGGTCTGAAGCTGGACAATCTGTCCAAAGGCATATACCCTGCAGAGTGTAAAAAACGGGACCAGGGATTGAAGAGTAAAAATATTTTTAAGGGCAGTTACTTATGTTGATTAAGTTAAATGAGGGAAACCATATTTCTTTTATATTTTAACTCCATTTTTCATTAGCATTTTGTACATGTTATAAATACAAAAAGGCTAGAAGCCTCAAAGCCTCACCTACATATGTTCTCCCTTTATGACAGACCTTTCATTATTGCATTTGAAGGAACAAGGTGTTTTTGACAGACAAAAAATTACCTGTTCTGTTCAGGGTGTGTGTGGTAGCATCATTTCTATTTAGTGTCCCATCACCAGCTTCTATTTGGTTATAGGGTCTGCCACAGCTGAAATACATCAAGAAATATCCACAATATAGAGAACCACGTACATCAGACAGTATTATGTAAAATGATTTCCTGCTGACAGTGTAAGATTATGTCATACAGTATAAGCCATGGTCCAGGGTGCATTGTCCAGACAAAACTACAAGAGAGAGCTGAAATTTTATTGGAACTCAGGAAAATAAAAGGAGAAAAATACTAAAAGACCTTGAATTAACTGGCCACCACCATTAAATTTGTGTTGCCAAGAGTAAGCCTGTAATATGTGATTTTCATTTTAAATGAATTTTTTACTCTCTAAATTTATCAGTAAAAAAAGAAAATAAAAAATATCCCCTGGTTCTGTACTCCGGCTGCCCTATAAAAGTGACAACATGCCAAGTACATAAGAACCAAGGAGGCATTTTGGACAGAATATGAGGTGAGTGATCTGATATCCATACATTTATCAATGAAATTAGAAGACAGAGTTTGCTTCACCATTCCCAGAACAGAAATATATTCTGGGAGGGATCACCATATCATGGTCCTTTCAAATGTCTGGCTCTTCCCTTCCAGTAAAAAAGCTTTATTCCTTGTGTGTGATTCCCTTTAAGTCCTAACTGTGAATTCAATACCAGCTGGAATGTTTCAAATTATAATGTCCCAACATGATTGAGTCTAGGACCTGAAGAAACAGTGGTGTATCACAAAAAAATGAGAGAACATAACAAATCTGAAATCTCATTTAGCAGTATTATATCGAATCTGTCCCCAAAAGACTGACACTTTAACATTTCTTTCTCTGATTTGAGCCAGTATTTTGAGGGCTATCTCACATATAACTACCTTTGAAAAGCAACTATTACAAAATTTTGTACTAGAAACTTTGTACCATTTTAAGTTGAACATGTAAAAATGGCTGAAATTCTGTGCCAGAGGGCTTTTGACTGGGTCATCCAGAACACATCCTGGAGCTTGATACACCCTGCAAACACAACGAATCCCTGAAAGACTTTAAAATAAAAATGCAAATCTGTCTTCTGTACTGATACCTGTACTGCATAGCCAAGCAAATAAATCATGTATCACTCGGGTTGCTAAACAAGATGAAAAAAAGTATTAATTTCTCTGTCCTGCATTCCTTGTGATTTCCATAAGATCAATGATAGAGAGCCTTTGATTGGGTGTAATGCCACAAGGCTTTTGCATCACTATGAGTGCACCTCTTTATTTCCTGAACATATGCAAACTCACACTGATTTAATATGTATGGTCCACAAAGCACTGTATTGAAATAAAAAAAAATTACTGAGCTACCCAGCAGCACACTTGAAATCTACTCTGTGTTGGAAGTAAACGTGCCCACGCAACTTTAACTCAATCCCCTCATACACAGGCATTATAATACCCTCCTTAACTTCAGGATTGTTTAAAATTTTTTGAACAGGATTCCTGCCTCATCCACTAAGCAGAATTAATACATGATTACTTACAAGTTTTTTTACTGGCATTGCCTGGTGTATGTTCTTGTTTACTGTGGTCTTCAAACTGTGCTGTCCTACCACATTTCACCATGTTAGTAAAAAAGAAGTACAGTAAAACTACCATCTTGATGCCACTGCCTGGGTGGGTCTGACTTAAAACACTGAACCCATCAAGAGATCACTTCCTCTTTTGTTGTAGGGGGTGGGATTGGTTTGCTGGTGGTAGAGGTTTGCTGACTTGGCATTGCTCCCCAACAAGGCAGGGGTTTTGGCAGTAAACATAGCAGGTTGTACACCATGAAGACTAGCAACCTACTATGCAAAAGCTCAGACATTAAAAATTTACTTCCAGTGTTTTAGTTTAACTCTCAAATTGTTAGCCCTTTAATTTCTTTGGTATTTGAGATTTTTTGTTTTGACTTTGTTTTTTAATTGTGTCTACATTACTAATGGGTGCATTATTTGTGTGCTGTAAATTCAGCTTGTATCTGTGGATTTGACACATCTATATACTAACGGCTAGAAATGTGACAGGGCTGGTAATTTTTCAACAGGGACTTAAAGGAAGAGTGGCTATTAGCACCAGTAGATGACAATTCTATTAGCAAATGACACCATAATATTTTAAATAATTTTTTTTCCAAATAATCAACAACAAAGTCTCTGTCAGCAATGTAACTATTTGCAATGCTTACACGGTCTAAGCTTTTGAAAACAAGCAAACTGAAACCCCAAATATGCTATATAACCTACACAGATCTAATAAGACAGCATCCACACTAAAGTTAATGAGCATTTTACCAGTGATTACAATGAAATCAAAGTTTGCACATATGAAGAAAATATATTTCATCACTATCTAAAACAACCTTACATTGGTTTTTTTGACATTTTTAATGCAACTGTTGACCATTCTCTTTAATAGAAGGCTTCTAGACATAATTATTACTTGTGAAAGTAATATTTTGTTGAAGTAGTAATAAGGACACAGCTTAATAAGACAGTAGTACCTCTTTGTTATATTCTGTTGTGTAATACAGTTTTTATTTCAAATGAATCAGTCCAAGTTCCAGTTTTGATATAACTTTAGAAAACTTTTAAAAGCACTTAAGTTTCTATTTAGTTACCTAAACCCATCTTAAAAGCCTGTTGGGATTCCAGTCTGAACTGCAGTGAGGATGACTCCCTTGAGCAAACTTGCAGTCTCAGTTTTGACTTTCTCACACCCCCTTCCTCACCCTGCACGCAGTGTCCTGAGACACATCCACAGCCACGTGACTGGAGTCAGAAAGGAAAAACCATTTCCAAAGATAGTCAAACTTGACAGCATTTAACCCAGCATCAGATGACGTGCTGGCCACTAGTTGGCCACTAATCACAAATCACTCACTGCTACGACCAGAAGTGACATCTAGTGAGTAAAATAACCGTGAAACTGCACTGGAACAGGTTTAGGAATACCAGCGTTTCCCACTGTTCTGGACACATATCGCAAACTCCACTAATACAATTTAGCAACTGAATCCTTTCTGAGAAGATAACCAGAACAACTTTCTTTCCAAAATGCTGATTTTGCAAAGCAGGATCAGCCTGTGTTACCTAATAAAGGGCTACTTTAAAGTGTGAAATTAAACTGTGTAACTCTAACTCTTAGTACTTGAAAGAATTTATCTGCAGTTGATTTCTGAAAAAAAATCCTGACTGTACATAATCTGACTCTGCCTAGGGAACACAGCACCAACTCCTCCTGAGAGAATGCTCAAAATTGTGTAGCCTTCAGGAATTGTTGGCACATCTTTACCAGAAGCATACAAGCCAGAATCTTTTAAACCCTCGCAGTCAGATTTTTCTATCAAACATCAGGTGCCTGCTGTGGAAGACTTGGTCTGTGATCTGAAGGTGACTATTCATATTAGGGGGCATGGCGTAAAAAACACAGGTTGTTAACATGAAATCCAACTTTGGGATCTGCAAATCACTGGCATAGAATTTATTTATGAATCAGACTGTCCATCTGACATCAGTAAAAGCAATAAATGTAGCTAACACTCTCCCACTTTAAAAGCATTTTGTAGCATCGGTCTACACAATAAGCCAAATACTACAAACTTGAAATGTCAACACACAATACTGCAGTAAATCACAAAATCTTGTATGTGGGCCAAAAGAGCATGTTCGTGAGAACAATGTGAAAGTATTCCTACTCATGTCAAATTACAATCTTACCTGCTGCAGATGACAGAGGGGCTGATAACAGGATCTGACAGTGGAGGTGCACTCTGAGAAGAAGTTAAGACTTTATGTGGCTTTAAGCCCTGCTTGGTGTCAGTATCTGTAGAGTCTGGAAATGACACAGAAGATGTTTTTCCAGTAGGACTTGTGGCAGGGGTCCCCTGAATTGGTGAATGGCACGGGGAGGTGAGAGGTGAAATATTCGGTGGGATACCTGGCAAGAGAAGAGTCTTGTCAATTAACAGAAGTGGCAAATGGTTGCATTAGTTCACTGTGCAGAAATACTCCTCTTGAGATGCACAAGTACCAGCACAGTTTCCAAACAGAAAAATAAGAGAATACCCCACTCCACTCTGAGCCAAGCCCAGGGCTGTCACAGGGAAATGAAATTCCATTAGTATCAGCCACTTCTACCTGCTGAAGATCTGGCTCAAAATACAAAGCATATTTTCCCTTGAGCAGGATGCACTAACTGGCAGGCATGAAATGAAGAGCATGTGTTAGTGGCGTGACTATTGGTATCAACATGTTCTACTGACAGAGACACCAAACTCCAAAGTTCCCAGACCCATCTGCAGATGCCAGATCCATCTTTGTTTTGCTGTCTCCATCTGTAAAGCCAGGACAAGAACAGCTTACATACATTCCCAGAAAATTTGGATTTTTACATGTTTGAAGACTAGGAATAAACCAAAAAAACAATTTTTAGTGGTCATCCATCACATAAAATACTGCACCTCTGGTGCCATTTCTGCATTCCTCACAGATTTTGGCCTTGACCTTGTGCAGCTTGAGTTTAGTTTTCAATATCTGTTGCTCACTAAGGGAACTTGTAACCATTACCTGTACCACGTGGTATTGTTACTCCTGAGCTAGAGTATCAGGAACTGCCAATACCCACATGTGTGAGCACTACTGAGATGTAGTTCTCTCCGACCCTTATTCTGTCTAAGCACCACTGCAAAGATGAAATGCATCAGCTGGTCCAGAGCTTGAAACAAAGTGCCGCCCTCTTTTTGAATCCACTTTACATTTTTCTAGTCTCAGACAAAATTCCAGTCAAAGCATAGAGGGGCAAACTTAATTTATCTTGAAAGGAAATGCACATAAATCGAATTACCTCCTGTTTTAAAGTTTGTAGGAACTCAGCCCCAGTTAATTTACCACATTCATCTTCAAAACCAAATGATAGAAAGACCTTAGGAACTTGAACTGGTTTTATGTTTGAATTGTGCCCACTATCTAAATGTATTCCAGACACAAAAATTATTTTAGAATAAGGCAATATGTTGCCTTATTCTCAGTTTATGAAATACTAACCTTGCAGGATATATGTATACAGTTCCAGTGTTTTTTCCTGATAGCAACTTTCTGTGATATGAGGCTAAAATATGATTTATTTTTGACAATCCAAGAGTTAAAAAAAAAAATTCTGACAGTTATGGAGCTGTAATTTGGAGATAGCTAACATCTCCTCAGTTTTCATTAGGGTATTTCTTCAGCAAACATGTGGCATGTATTACTGTCTTAATTCAGTGACTGAAAGTAGGATATTATGCTTGTCTCAAGATCAGAAAACTACAGCCTTCAGAGCAATTAAAATGTTATCAGATGGCCATGACACAGGGAAATTGCTTTAAAATACAGAAAACCTCTGTTTCACATTTATGAATTCATTGAGATATCGGCTTTCCATCCAAAAAAAAATGTCTTTAAAAACATTTTGCAGTCTGTTAGATGTGCAGAAGATTGAGTTGGATTATTATCTATTTTTGAGCTACATGTTACCAGGTAATATTCATGACCCTTAGATGATATGGTTTGGAAGATACAATACATATGGTGATCTTTCAACAGTTAAAACAAGTCCTGGGAATTTAAACAGCCATTCTCACAAAAATGTTTCTAATCACAGCTGCCTTTCTACTGCCAGTCTGGGCTCCTGTCTCCTGACATATTTTTCGTTGTGTGTTTTGGGGTTTTTTTTGCTTATTTGTTTGTTTAAAGAGTAGTTTTCCAGGGTAGGTGACCACAAATAAATAAATAAATTTACAAGAAAAATGCAAACCTATTCTCAATAATCAAACAGTTAACAATTATTGGCAAACATGAGAGTAAACATGTCTTGCTACAGCAAGGAATTTTGAACAGTCAAGATAACAGAAGAATAAAAATACAAAGAGAATTTTTTAAGTACATCCATCTGCTTAGGTACTCCAGAACTTCTTCATATGTGCAGTGTTGAAGATATAAAACAGTGACTTCAACGTGATGTGAAATGACATATGAAAACACTTGATTTTTTTGCAAAAATAGATATAACTAGCAGCTGTTTTCATGCATAATTAAAGACACATTTTATACATTAACAGATTTACAGATTTAGCTAGATCAACTTCTACTAATAATTATTGTATCTTGCCAATGGAGCTAATATATAAAAGCCTAAAAAGTACTAACTATGGCAAATGGAAATAATTATTTAGTTGGAACATGAAAACAAATCATAACTAAAAATGCATGATTACAAACAGCCTAAAACATTGAAATATCAATCTTCTACACAAAAATGTTGACACAAAACTTTTACTCCTCTCCATTAATACCCCTAGGAATTGCTTGTGATGGAATGGAGATCCCCCTTCATCATGTGGGAGCTCATGTACTTGGGCAATAGAGATGACTATTAATGCTTTCTGAAAGCAGAATTTACTATATGTAAAACTGACTGATGGGGTTGGTAAGTGTTGTTTTCAAATACAAAATATTATACACGCCATCCCTTTCCCTTTCAATTCACTAGGTAATCTCTGAAAATAACAAGTCTAAGTGTAATATTTGGGTTTTTTTCAACAAATTCCTGGATTCTTGGTACTCTATCTCCATTATTTTCCAGGTTTAATTTTATTCAATTGCCTATGTGCCTATTACCTTTTAAGATAATAGTGTTACTTAGTCTTCCCTGTGATAACACAAAGCAGCTGCTGTACAAGAAGAGATGTTGTACAGTTCTCTTCAGTTTGAAAAGGAGATGAGATGTGACAGTGCTAGATATGAAAATAATTGTGCAGCTGTATCTTCAAACCCGTGTCTAAGTTGGGATTCTCTGACTTTTTCAATGTCAGACCTCAGGCATGTATCAATTTCCACCTGAAAGCTGAGTGGCCAGTATCATTGAGTAACATTATCTCAACATTATTCCATGCTTGGAAAAAACCCAGGCTGATATAAAAAAGGGAGGCCTTGTGATAATTTTGAATTACAAGTTAAAGCACGAGTAAACATTATATTATCCTGCATTTGTACAGGGAGGAGAACCCCATTTCTGTGGATTAAGGACACTTCATGGCTGTCATATCAAACATTTAATTATCAATTCCGAAGTCACCTTCTCAGTTTCTTTCTCTAGTTTAAACAGGAGTAATTGGGGGTTTTTTACAGTCTCAAAAAGCAGAGTGAAAAGCCCCATATTTCTCATCTCTAAATATCAATAAGAACTACCTGTACTTTCTCATAAATAAATATACAGAGATAGAGTTACAAAGGCTTTGTCTTGGATATGTTTGCATAAGATGGGTCAGTTGCTGCTTACAGCTGAAAATGGCATTATGCACGTTGTGCTTCAGGAAATCTCAGACAACATGCACAGACAGTTAATGTCATAAATGTTACAGAAAACACTCTATTCTCAGCCCTGTTGAAGTCAAGGGAATTAAACGGATATAAATCACAACACACAACACAGTTTTGTACCACACTTGCTGCATCATGTCATGACTAACCTCTACAAATCAAAAAGTCAAAACATTTACAATGGTATCACTATGAGCTACAGTATTTTAAGACGCTGTGTTGTTTTTTCTTAAATACAGGAAATAACCATATTATATTGATGGAAAAATAAGAAAAGAAGCAGATTGGATAGAGAACAAAAGCAGCTGCACTTGCTAGTCATGGGGAGCAGCTAAGTGAGCCTGACAGAGCCATGGATGCCCACTCACCTTGCCGGCTCTGCCTTTTGGCATTCAGGTGGTTGGTAGAAGACATGGCATAGGAGGTGGAGAAGGATCTGCTCTTTGTGATTGTCATCAGAATTGAGCTGTTCCAGGAGTCTGGGCTGCAAAAACAGAGCACAAACAAGCACAATTTGACACAGGAAAAAGCCTCAATGGTAGATCTTAAGAAGTTAGGAGCTGCAGCAAGAAATATATGATACTGGGATAGCACAAAATCTGACAAGGAAAACAACATCTATGGGCTGGCTGAACTGCAGTTTGTGAGGTGCTCAGTACTGTGTTCAGCAAAAATATTTACAATGCAGACACTCCAAAAGCTGGGTTTCCTTTGCTGCTGAGGCCTATTCACTTTATTTATACAGATGCCTTCTTTATATTGTTCTGACAGTACACAGAGGCTCAAAAGTTGACTTGAAATAAGTTAAATTTATATTCTCCTTTAACACCTCCTTAAAAGAGCCAGAAATGACTCAAGTTCTCAGTGTAACTACAAGCCCAGCCTCCTCTGCTGCTGGTGCCACAGCAGATACCCACCAACCCTTAGGGCAGTGGAGGAGTTCCTCAGGGGACTGGGGAGGTCCAGAAGCACCCTGCATGGCCATGGCTCCCGGTGTGCCCCTTCACACTCTATCCAGCTGCACCCCCAAAAAAATCCTACTGACACACCCTGAAGACATTGGTCCAAGAGAAACATACTGAGGGAAAACAGGGGGCATTTGTCTCTGGGTGTGGAACAAATGCTTGTCCCCTACGACAGCATGGACCAACGCTTTCAGCCTTCAGGCTAGAACTCTGTACCAAAATTCTTCTGTACAGTGAGAAAACTGTATTCATGATTGTTTTCCCAAATGCCACTCATCAAATTTCAGCTGCTTGCAGGGATGCAGCACTGGCTCTTACGAAGCAAGGCCTGTGAGCCCTCTGGACAGACCCACCAGGCATCTCAGGCTCCATGTTCCCCCTCACAGCCTCACACGCAAGTGATGAGGTGACACACAAGCCAGAAGACAGACTTTTAAAGTAGTCTAGCTCCAGCTGACCTTGAAAAAAACTTGAAAGAAAAAATAAGCACTCTGAAAGAAAAAAACCCACTGTGTTACACCTCTACAAACATATTGTTTTGGAAGAGATGTACTACCTACAAAAATAATTGCTAGCTGTCTTCATTGGCCCAAATTCCTAAAATCTGTGATGAAATGAGACAAAGAAAGATTCCAGATGGTTTTTTAAAAATTTTCTTTGTTTGTTTTGTTTTATGGTTTTATTTTGTTTTTTAGTTAATACAAAGAATATCACACACTGGTCCACTGTAAAGTTAAACTCCAACAAAACAAACCAAAAATCCCCCAAGCACATTCTTTGACTTCCTAAGGGAGAACCACTGGATATAGAAGTGACTGAGGGAGAGAACGTGGTAGTTTTATTATTTTTCCTGTATCATTACAACCCAAAAGAGGACCATGTCTTACCAGTTTATTGACATAGGATTGGAAGAATACAAGATTACTAATCTCAAACAGAGATTTAAGGGGGATTTTTTCAAATTTGTGACTATAGAAATCTAGAGATGATGTTCCAGGCTGTGAGGAACAAGTTGAAAATTTTGTAACTGTGACATCTGCCACAGGGAAATCCCAGTGTCAGCCTCTCTCCTACCCCTTCAACCTATGAAACACTTCTTTCTCTGTGACCTGTGGAGTGCTTGAATTTGGTTTGGTACAGGGGAAGTGGCAGATAATCAAGACTTTTTTTCTCTTCAGTTCAAAATTCTTCTCCTTGAAAGAAAATCTCTCTTGGTCTGCCAAAACTTTTAAAGCTAGACTTATAGGATCCATTTTTTCCCCTTTCTGGAATACACATTGTTTCTCCTACTGTAAGAGAAGTACTACAAACAGTAGGCTGGGAGGCTTGACAGAGCTATAATTATACAATTGGCGACATTAAACATAGGAAGAATTGATAGCCTGCTTAGTTGGCTCATCGTGCAGAGTTATATAACAACCGTAGGAAAGGACCAACAATAATATTTAATTGCTCTCCTTCTCCCTCTGATTCCCATCTTGGGATGCTTACATACTACGTGAGACTGGGATCAACAGCATAAATCAAATAGACCCTGGGAACCACAGGTTGGTGAGTGAAGAGCGTTTCCATTTGGTTCTAGCTTTTACTGAGATAGCTGGGACTCCTCACAAAGGGAATTTTGGCCAGCCACGTGTTTTTCTTGCAGTGCACTTTACAGGTTGCCTTGAGAACCTCAATGCCCTGCGTGAGGGTCTCCTCTGTGGGAATGGTTTATGCATCTGGAGGAAAGGCTGACCTTGGAAGAATGCAGCTCTCTGGGGCTGTGTTCACCCAAGCTATTTAACAGCCAACACTGGTGTTCTCAGGCCCTCTCAGGTCCTATGTTTTTCTCCGCTACCAGTACCAAATTTTGAATTTCAGAAAAGCATGTGAGTCTTCTGATAACATGACTCTAAATTCTCTTATTGAATTTGGTGCTTTGGTTCTGATCTTTCTTTCCCCAGAGCAAAGCATGTCTCCACATTCTCTTCTCCAGCTCCAAGATGATAACCCTTGCTGAGATTGGGGAGGGGACCTGAACTTTATTCTCTCAGGGTGGCACCACAACTGACTGCCCTCCACCCTACTTTTGAAGGCTCTGCTCCTCTCTGACTAGAACAGAAGAATATTCAGGGAGCTAAAAAGGAGGAAATCCTCTTGAAATAGCTGCACAATGTGATCACAGTTAACAGTGCCTGGGAGCCAAGCCTTTCTTGTCACAGACAAGAGCTCTTTGCACAAGGCTAACATCCATTCAACTTCTTCCTTCACTGTCTGCTACTGGATTATCTGCCACAGACCCTGTGGAGGGTTAAAAGCAGCTCAACTCAGGTTTTATGGTGGCATGGAAATCCCAAAATGTGAGGTACATAGGTCTGAAAGTCCTCAGACCTCTGCAAATGCCCTAAACAATCATCTGCTGGCTGCAAGGAGCTGAGCAGACACAACTTCTCTTTCTCCATTCCACGAGAGGACCACGTATTTTATGATATTGGCTCAGGGATCAGGCCCTGAGAAGAATGGAGGATGGAGGAGTGCTTTATGAACTGGTTTAATGACAGAATCACATCACTAGGTGTGTTCTTAGAAATGGTTGGGTTACTTATTAAAATTTTTTCTTGGCTGGGTAATACCCACACAGGAAACTGCTGCATATCAAGAAGAATTCAACCAGATATTTTGCCTTTCTTCCCATCTTATTTTGCACTTCTGAACTTTGTTAGCATAAATAGATTTTTTAAAAATTTATTTTACTTCCCAATAATACGAATAATTTTGGCACAATCTGACTAAACTTGGGGAAGCTGCTTCTTTGGCAACCCAACTTAAAGAAACATGAAGAAGTAGTTTTAACACACTTCACAGCCAGCATTTTCGAACGAGGGACATCATCACACAGAACCAAAGAAATCTGCCCAAATAGAAACATAAAAGAGAGAGGAGGTAATTTGTAACCTGGATGAAGATGATTCATGGGGTTTGATGCTGGCACTGCGATCCCTTCTCACCGGAGCTGGCTCCAGGGTAGGTAATCCTGTGGCTGATGTTGTTGTGGTCCAAGTTGAGGACACTCGTCTCAGCAGTCCTGGGGGCAAACTTCTCCGTAAGCGCTGAGGAGAAATCAGTTGCTGAGAGTTTATATCAGATTACAAACCTTTCAAAGGTGCAGAAGAAAAACCACTTCCATTTGATTAATTCTGCCTGACAACAACTAGTGAGGTACCGTAAATCTGGATTCTCCCAGGTATTGGGGTGCCTTCATTCTCCTCAAATCAACACAGCCAATGTTTTAAACGCTTGCAGGGTCTGGACCATCCTCCCTGTTTCAAAGTTTTAAAAAAGGTCTACACCCACAGCCCCATAGCCACAGAGGTTCAACATCTGATGTGGCCAAAGGCACTTAAACAAATTAGCAGGGCCACAAAGGTGGATTGGAACATCTGTCATAAAAGGAAAACCTGAGAGAGCTGGAATTCCTCAGCTGGAAGAAGAGGCAGCTCAGGGTGGGTCTTACTAATGTATACAGATACCTGAAGGGAAGGTATAAAGAAGATGGAGTCAGGCTCTTTCCAGTGGTGCTCAGTGAAAGGATAAGAGGCAATGGGGCAAAAATTGAAATACGAGAAATTTCATTTGAAGGTAGGAAAATATTTTTTACTGTGAGGATGACTGAATACTGAAAGAGGTTGCCCAAAGAGGCTGTGAAGTTTAAATTCATGGAGATACTCAAAAAACAACTGGACATCCTCCTGAGTAACCTGATCGAGGTTGAGCCTAGAAAAACCTGCATGAGGGACTGGAATAGATGATCCCTGGGCTGGACTAGACAATCTCCAGATGCACTTCCAACCTCAACTATTCTATGATTTAAACTGTCATGAATTCTCAGAATCAGAGATTCAAGGTAAGAAAGGTTGTAAGAAAAATATGGGACAGGAGTTCCAATTTTTTTCCTGCTATATCTCCCCAAGCCAAAGGTCACCCACTGAAATAAAACTCGTTTTCTGGGATACGATGTCTCTTGATAAGCATAGAAAAAGCATAATTATTTACAGCAGATTTTTCTTGACCACCCTGCATTTTTCTTTCACCTGATTCTTCCTTTTCTCCACTAACAGGACTCACATATTTTTTTTTAAATTTTGAAGACAGTGATAATAAGGGATAATGATAAAGAGTCTTTTTGGATCCAGATTTGCTGTTACAGATGCTATAATTTTGTAAGATGTTTCTCTTGTAGTTCTCATAAAATGTTTATAATTAAGAACTAAAATAAATATATCTCCGCAATGGAGATCTTGGACTTTGCCAGAGGGTTAAGAAATATGAGATGGAAGAGAACTGTGGTTCTGAAGCTCAAACTTAAAGATGAATTTGTTAACATACTATCTCCTTAACCAAAATAGTGTCAGATGCTTAAGGTAAAGACCCTAAATCTATATTTATACAGGTAAATGAAGGACTGCAAATAATTAGTTTTATGAACCATAATACATTTAGGTCAGTGAACTCCAGTCAAATTAGTTCTCTGTAGCATTAACTCATTTCTTCATCATTCGTCTTCTCCTCACTAGGTATTACACAACAGCAAACTGGTATCTGCTCCCTGTGTTTGCTCATGTGATGGCAGTGTTCTTCCACTTAACTTTTCCCCTCAGAGCCCAGAGTGCAGCCATGATACACATGTTCACTAAAATAAATTGGAAAATGTGGTTAAAAACCCGTGAACATCCATTTCATACATACAGCTGCTACATAGGCAAACAGGGTAACAATTATCATCACACTAAAATATAATAAAACCAAGAATCACAAGCGTTGCAATTCGGATGCCGGGAAATGCTGGAATGAACGCTGGCTGTGCCATTTAAACTGAAAAAACATAAAAGCATTTGCCTGTGCAACGTACTCTGCCTATATTTAATTTTAGAAGGGAGACTGCAATACAAAAGCATTTCAGTTGTGTTTCAAAAGTGAAATGTAGGCCTTGCAGGACAGCTAATTAGCAACAAACATACAATTCAAACTACTTCAAAGTTGATGTGTTCTCTCTAGCTGTTCACTTGCTAAACGTGGGTAGTTAACACTGGTTACTTCTTGTCAGATTCCTGAGCATTTATAAAGCCATCTGTCAAAGCAGTAATAGATTTTTTTGGTCCAGCCTTCTTTTTCTTCTCAAGACCACTTCTCATGAGCTCACAGTAGTTGTCATACTAATGATTGTGATAATCTTTTTGTTTGTTTGTTTGGTATGCAACACTTTAAACTTGATCCAAAGCCCTGGAGGTCACCAATAAGGAGTTTTTCATTGACTACTACAGGTTTCACACTTCTGGCTAAGGGAAGGAAGAAGAGACTGAAATTCATACAGAATTTCAAATTCCAACCTTTAAAGTGAGCAAAAAGATCCCTCATATTATTGCTTATTTCCCCAATGCTCATTGTCAATGATAGTCACCCCTCACGCAGTGGCTCAAATCTTTTGAGTGGGAGGAGAATTTCTGTGTAAGAAGTGATGGGGCAGACCTGTGAGTCTGAATGATAAAAGGCTTCTGCTTGCTCTTCTCCCTGTCATTTCTTCTCCCAAGCTCCAACCAACAGCTGCAAGAAAATATGCACACCATCTGTGTGATCTATTCTGTGTCGAACACCATCTTCTAAACATGCCTGAACCAAAGTAAACCTGGTCGTGAGTTGAGGGATACACAGGAATTGTGTTACTATGAAACCAACGACAGACTAGCTGTCCTTTTCCAGTAGACTGTCATTGGTGCACAGGATGTTAATCTGAAGCAAACAAGCAAAAATCCCAGTGATGTCTCCCAGTAGCCCAGTGATGCATCTTTAGGAAGAGCCAAGTTACAAGATGATACACAGGCTCCAGTACTCACCTTGGGAATGGCCAGTTTCTCTCCTTTCTCCGGACATTCCTCTGAGTCAGAGCAGGTGTAGTTCTCACTGAAGGACACCAAAGGATTCACCCTCGGCTTGTGGATGGCCTGGAAGGTTAACTGCGTGTTAAGCAGGTTGCTCACTGTTCTCAGCGATGTGCACACGTTGGGGGGCAGTGAAGGATCGGCCAAAAGGTCTGTGATGAGCCCATGTGCTTCTCCCATGACAGCGATATCCACTGTGATACTGGTACCAGAAGACTAAAGAAGAGAAAAATAACACATGTAAGACAACAGAAGTGAACAACCTGCGGAGCGCTATCTAAAGCTGTGGTGAACTCCCTTCACAACTTTTGTTAAAGTGGTTACCCACAGAGTGGAAAAATAAGAACATGAAATAATTCTTTAAATAGAGAGAATGATGCTGAATAGATTGATCATCAGGCCTAATGCTCACAGTCTGCAAAGACTTTGGAACTCCATCATATCTGATTTCATGGTTTTCATCATCTGCAGCTGACAACCCATCCAAATGAATTGTTCAGGCTCCCTACAGAGACATAGTCAATGGCCAGGGGCTATTTGCACAAATAATTTTGGAGACATAGCTTAGGATGGGATGGGAGGAGTCTCTCTTGACAGATGCCTGTCTACTCACTACAGAGGCATCTAGAACAACTCATGCTCAATGTTTATGCTTGGTTGAATGAAATTAATCCCAGGTATATACTGAGATCTTTAAAAATATCATACAACTATAATATTCTGGTATGGTGGCAACAACATTCTTCTCCAAGAAATTGCATACTGGGCAGCTATACCAAATATGAAATGGAGTAAAAAGTGGATTTTTCAAACCTTATTTTATTCAGATGGAAGTGATGAGAATAGCTACTCTACAGACTTGTATGACCAATTCAGATGGTCCTTGCTTTCTCTTGGGTTTGAAATATATACCTACTTTACATATATCATTTAGGAAGAATTATTAACGGATGTATAAGCAGAACCAATATCAGGGACCGGCTCCTATCACTGGCAGATCTTACGCACCCTAACCACGGATATAACTGATGTGCAAATGATGCAACACAAACCAACTGTGGGTCAGGCAAACTGTCTTTATATGTGCAGTCCATCCATCACACACACAGGTAATTTAACACAGCTGTAGCACTGGGTTTCCAGTGCATGCACAAGAGGGTTGATCTGTAAATGCATCTTTGAGTTTCTGCAGAACTTCCCCACAATCAGCAGCTCCAACTACCATCTGTCGTGAGAACCAGTAGGGCACCATATTGGCAATAAAAGAAACAGTATATTGCCAAAAGCAGGAAAGTTGTCAAGTCTGTGAATTGACAGCTATATGATACAATTGCAAAAGACTGAGGATCTTTAAAAACCTACTAAAAGAACAGTGAGACTGGATGCACACAGAAGCAGAACAACTAGAAAGGCAGGATGCATATGGAATTTCAATGCAGCAGTGACATTTCAGCCTCACTAGCTGGTGTACTAAAACCTGCCATAAATTCTGCATGGAATTGCTAATTCAAGGCACTCCAAGAGTGACCATTTTTCCTTTGCTGTGTTTCTGACACATAAGCTTAAGCCTGCTGCTACTGTTTGGGACTCACCAGCAGGTGTACGTGCAGTTTGCCAGAGAGATCATTCCAGTAGATTTCGTACTAATTTACTTCCATGTATTTCTTAGAGAAAGATAAAATACATGGATTTCTAAATGGTGAAGTTATGTCTGTGAAAAGATCATATGAGTTTTTTTGGAGTGGCAAACAAACAATAGGGAGAATTGGTCAGACTTAGCAGGAGGGTGATCAGAGCCCCATCCAGGAGTGACTCACCAGTGACAGTGTTTATGGACCTCAAAACACAAAGAACAGTGTAACACAGCGTGACACTGCTTTGTTCTCACAAAATGCTTTACAGGCAACAGAAAAGTATTTCTGAGGAAAGTGAAATATTAGCTGAGTGCAGCTAAACTCCTCCCCATTTGTGTAGTGTGGACATCAGGTCCCCTTGGCAAATTGATGTTTCACTCCACTGATCCACTCCTTGTGTCCTACTTCTTGCTAACACAGAAGTAAACTGAAGAACCAGAAGACAGGCCTCCTCACTCACCATCCTCTCATGCAACCAGAGAAAGAGCTGCTTCTTCTCATATTTCTTTGCCACGCTATGAAATAACATAAACCAGAAGCCGCTTGATATATTGAAGTGCTATTTCATCCTACTGAAAAAAATTAATGTCTGAACTTAATTTAATGGCTCTTTCATTGCTTAACCTCTCAGGAGTGCATGCAGAAGATTCTGGCAGATGCTAAAGAAAATTCTTAAATTAAAAGACAAGGCTTGGGATGGGAGGAATTAATTATCTATCTTAACTTCAGCCCTGAAAAACAGACCAAAGGGGAGTGAGGGACAATATGTCATTCAAAACGCCATAGAAGCCTCATATTTTCAGCAAAACTGCATAATCTACAGTTTGAAATTCTATTAAGCCTGGAGCCTGGAGTTGTTGACTGCCAATCAGAGACAGAGATTAATACTTCAATGAAGTAAACAAGTCTGACTCAGCGGGCTATAAGCAGAGGCCCAGATTTTGTACAGCAGTACTAATATTTTGCGAAGCAGCCAGCATTGTTCTCCATGATTAGCACCAAGTGGGGAGAGCCCTTCTCAATGGTGAATTTTCTGCCACATGGCCTCTAACATGTGAGGATGCCTTGTCAGGTATCTCAGTGGCCCCGCCTTGACTCTGGGACCCAGCAGATTTGTCTGAATCATAACACCAGGCTGTGATGAGTTATGCCAGGACCAAGTGCACGGTAAAACCCATGCAGTCATCCACCCATCCATCCCACCTGCACAGAGTATGCCCAGCGAGGTCAGCACCATGCCTGTAAGGAGATCCACACTGATTTTCCCTCACCAAGACTGAAAATGAGACGTGAACCCCGTCAGCACAGCCCAACCAGGGTCACCACAGAACATCAACACGTGCAGCATGACATGCTGCATTACACAAGACTGTGGAAACATTTTACACAGTTCAAAGACATCACTGTATTGTATTGAGCTGCTTTAAATTTGAGTATATGATAGTTAGAGTATTGTCTGAATTACTCATAATACTTAGAACCCTCAGAATGAGGGCATGTGTAAAAGAACAACAGACCAAGTTTAAATCCCTCTTGAAGAAAGAACTATAAGAGGGTAAACACTGCTCTAATCCACCAATTTCAGTACATTTACACACATCCTAAATTGGAAGGGTTTATATGTTGTAATTTAATTGCACAGTACTTGTATACAGGAAAGTACCTTCTTTTCCAAACAGTTCGAATATTTCATCTGTCTCAGGGTGAATTTAGAGCACTGCCAGGCTAGTCTGACTAGATAAAATTACAGGTATTTAAAGTATTAATTTCTAAAAAAGTTACAAATTGAATGCATGAAAACATTTTAAAATATTTCATTTTTCAGATTCACTACTACAAAACAGTAGAGAACTGCATATACTTTGGAAACCATTATTCAGAAAGTAAATAAAAATGCCTTTCCTTAAAGGGCTAGAAAACCTGGAATTTACTTTAAAAGACATATGATGATGTGAAAGCAAGACAGTAAATTGCTGAAAATTTTAGATTGATGTAATTGTACATGCACACATTTGCACACATATATATGCACAGTGTCTTTTTTTTCCAGGGTAAAAGTGCATATAAAATCCATGTTCAGACTTTGTAAGTAGTTTTCTTCTTACATGCATAGCCTCTGTATGAACTGATTTGGATTCTTTCCAAAGCACTTTACTCATTGCAACTCAAAGGCCAGATACTTGGGAATAGTGGTATGAATAAGATGTTTGCAATCAACACTAACAAACAACTAATTTGATAAAACAGAACAACAAAGAGCTAAGTTAAGGTGAATTTAATTGCACATTGGTCAGTATTCATTTGCTCATCTATGCCAATAATTGTGAATCCAGTTCTCTCCCATGAATTTTGGAGAAGACTGGCTTACTGTTCAATTTGTGCCTTCATTCCATTCCTGATTTAAGCAATGTCATGCAGTGACTAAAACTGAAATGCTCCAGGGCAGGAACAAATCCAGATCAACTAAGCATGCTCACTTTTAACTAAGATAAGGAGAAAAATTAATTCCTTATAATGCTGAAAAACAGTGGTTTAGGCTGTGGTACGACCTGGAATTCCTAACTGGGTCCAAATGCGCTTGCAGCATGTTTTGGGGCTTCTGTTCATGTACAGAAATAAATAAAAAGGGTTTTCTCCCAAAGAATGCATATAAAAAGTAAGCTGGCCAGATCACATCGGGATGCATCAGAGACTGGGGACAGACATGGATAGTTCACAGTGCCAACTGTGCAATCATCTAAGTTTGCATTGGTGGGAATTTAAAAGAAAACTCTGATGTGCCAAGAAGCACATACACTGCTGCAGGACCAAACCATAAGCAGCATGTCCCACTATCACACAGACAATTTTTGTCAGGGCAGGAGACTTATCTGCAAGGAATACTCTAAATATGAAAACAATATTCTAGCAAATTTTAAAGAACACTTAGAATTTTTGGGTTTGAATAGTTTGTTTTGGATTCTGTAACAGGACTAGAAAATAAACTTTCAAAATTTGCATAACCTTTGTTGGGCTTTTCTATTACATTTCACAAAATCCCATTAATTTTCTTTTGTTAAACTATATTATGCATAAAACTCACTCTAAGAATAGCTATTTACTGGCTAGGGGGAAAAGCAGATAGAACTGTGTAGGAGAAATGAATTTAGGAAAATAGGAATAACAATTTCCTTTACCCATAAGACCTGATAGATATATTTCGGTTACAAATTGTTTCTGTTGACTCACCTGTGAAGCAAATTTGACATCCATACACTTAAGGGATACCTTAATGCAAATAAAAGTCTTTCCCCTCCCCATTGATATTTTGTATATGAATCTCATATGACTGAATTCAGCCAGTCTAACTAAAAAATACTGTTCTTTCCACCCTACAAAAAGGATGATTATCATGGCAACACAAAACTAGTCAAAACTTCAGTATAAAAAAAACCCCAAACCAAACCAATTATCTAACACAAACCACAATTCATTTCACTCAGCCTCATGTTAGGGGAAAAAAAATAAATCTTTATTTGCTGTGGCTTGTACAAGGAAAAGTACTGTAGGCAGAGATGCTGGCCTTTCACCACATTACACTCA